ATCCGTTCTTGTTTTAAGCTGTTGATGATGCTGCTTTTCCCCACATTTGGGAAACCTACAAATGGGAAATCCACAGAACAAAAGGCATTATGTACTGGTAACTATAAAACTTCCACTGCCTTATTTTAGGTTTGCCCGATATTTGGAGCAAGATCAGAGTTGGATCTGAGTGTCTTCACGTCAACACTAAGACCAACCTTAGCGTCTTCATTTCTTGCACAAGTAATCAAAGAGCAGGAAAAGATTAATTCAAATAATCAGGAGCTTTTAGAAGCCAACTTCTTACAGTGCACAGCACTGGAATAGGCAGAAATTAAAATTTTTGAGCGTGTTTCATTAAACGGGCAAGAAGCCAATGTTTGAACAAGCTCTTGAGCACCAACCTCATACACTGTTAACATGAATAAAACCTTGACACTTAAGACCTAAAGCGTGTTAAATTGAAACTCACCAATTACTCCCACCTGAATGGCTTTGCCACAAGTCTCCTGAAAACTTCTAAGAAGCTTCCAAAGGCCTTCTTTCCCAACGCAGACTTCACTTCTGAAGGGAGCTCTCTTCCTGACCTTCAAGTGCTAAAATTCCAAATAATTAAACTACTTCTGATAACCCACCAGATAAAACTCAAGCAATCTCTCCAGAGCCCAGCTATTAAAATCACCACTCTATTATCTTTCAGATTATCTCTGGATGAAATCAGAGTTGGATCTTATATATTCTCATTTTTTAATCAAGATTTTGTATGCTCATCATATTTCAGCCATTCAAAATCTGAAAGAACCATACTTTCCACCACTGACTGTAAAGCGTACCTTGATTATCTTGCCCTTTTCCTTCAAATTTGTTGAGGCTCTGAACACCACTGTTGGTAATTCCTTCTTCAAATAACTTAGCCAGTTTTCTAAATTCTCCTTTGGTACCAAATCTAAGAGGGATTAGGAAAACAAGACACATGCTCCAATTTGGTTATTTTATTGAGATGAGTATGAATATTTGATAAACTGGGTTTTACTCTGGTTTGTCTCTTCAGTTTTTTAAAAAGAATTTAGATGGAAGATAGGAAGAGAGTAAGCTCCCTATCATACTGCCTATATCTTAACAGAGTTTGGTATCTACCCTCCTATATTTCTTAAGTTACCCTTTGCACTGCTCACCTTTTCAGAATTAAATCAACCAGTAGATTATGACCCTAACTTAACAGCAGAACTGTGTTTCCAGAATTTACTCTCAGGTAACAGCCATGTTTACTGGCCCCAACAGTAACTGCGGATGCCATTTTACATTCTGCTTCATGAAATCTCTATTCTGGGCTTTCCTGGCCCTGATGTTCAAACCAATACTTCCTTAAGCACACTTTATATAAATATTGTTATATGTGAACATTATGTGGATGTGGTGAATATGGCAAACTACCATCACTCCCTATGTGAGATTAATGAGTAAGCAGAGTAGAGAAGCTTACACTCTTAAATAAGACAAGATGGCAAAGTAGTAAATAGTAAGAGAAAAGTAGAAACCTGTTAGTCACCTATAAAAAATACCTCAATCCCATTGCCCAGCATTGCTTTTAGTACAAGACCATATGCACTGGCTTTATTGCGGTCAGAGTTGGATCTTATCAGTCTTCAATGAAAATCAGACTGCTCACATGTTTTCCTCATACCTCGCTAGTGCATATGGAACATAAAAGGCATCTCTTCTGCTCACCTGATTTATTTAATACAAGTACCAGCTTCTTCTGTCCACTCTGGACAATGGCTTCTTCTGCCTGGGGACACCTGCAACCAAGAGGATCTCTGGCATCCAACACCTCCAGCACAACATCTGAGGCTTCAATCACCTGTCAAAGCAGAAACTATCAAAGAAATATCCCGTGCTCTGGCAACATTCTCCATACACAAGTACACTGGCATTTTCCACTTAGCAACAGGGTGAACTCAGAGTTAGATCTTAGATCTTCACTTTGGCATGAAGAATGTTCACATGTTCATTTCTCACAGGAAAGTAAAACACAGGTTTGCTTGGCAGCCTATGGACTCCTGACAAAGTGGATTTCAAAAGCAGAAATATCTCCATTGTCTGAATATACAACCCTTCCACAGTGAATTATGTAGTGCGATACGCCCTGTGGCCCTGCCGAGAGATGCTGACCAGCAGTCCTGTTCTATTAATGGAGGGAAGTGAGCTTAGGAAAACGGGTATTTAGGATGGGGGTTCTGGGGAACAACTATGCCAAGACACTGCCTTGTCTTCCTTCACTTAGGTTTCAACAGTACTTTTTCCCCACACTGCTTGCTCTGACATATCTTCATCTATTTTAGAAACCACTATCAACATGTTACTTAACACAAAGTACCATTTTTGTCAGTCATGCTTATAGAACTGTTCCTGTGCAAGAATTTTAAACTTTAAGAATACTTCCTGCAGCGAAACAGAAAAGGCCCTAAATAGGATAAACCACAATAAACAAAGAATAAAAACTTTTAAAACTAGGATATGCCAACTTGCTGATTCATCTATCTCAAGTGAACTCCACTTCCACATTTATAGGGCTGGTGTCAGAAAAAAAGAATCACTCTAGCCTTTTCAACCTCATTACCATTTTTAGACACTGACCTAGACTAAAATACCTTTTTAAGTTCCTGACAATACAACTTCTTTGGATTCTGTTTGCCTGACTTGGGTTTGTCCTTAGCTTTGCACTGCCCAGATTCCTGCAAGATAAAGACAAGGGAAAAAGGACACCAAGTTAGCACTTCAGCTGTACCTATTTCTCCATTTTCCATGGCTAATTAGGGGCACTGCAGGGGACATTTCTTTAAGTAAAAAAGAGTCAAAATAGTCTTTCTGCCCAAGGCACAGCATCCCCTGCCCTGGATATGTTTTTACTTTTGTCAGAATTCTCAGTCATAAAGATAATCTCTAAAAAAAAAAGTATTTATTTATTCAGAGAGAGAGAGAGAGAGAGAGAGAGAGAGAAAGAGAGAGAGGGGCAGAGACACAGGTAGAGGGAGAAGCAGGCTCCATGCAGAGAGCCTGACGGACTGGATCCCTGGTCTCCAGGATCACGCCCTAGGCTGCAGGCGGCGCTAAACTGCTGCGCCATCGGGGCTGCCCTCAGTCATAAAGTCATAAAATCGTACCTCCTTCACAGGTTCCAAGTTAGATGGCTTAACACCAGGGTTAGTTTCAAGTTTTCTTTTCTTTTCCTGTTCCTTCTGCCTGTCAAGTTTCTGCTGCTCTTTTAGTTCTTCAAGCTGCATCCAAACCATAAGAGAAATGAGTGAGCCAAACCAATGTGGTGCTACTTTACTTTCAAAAACCACATACCCACGCATCACTTGTTCAGAGTTTGAGCTAACATAGCTTACTCGCTGTTTCCTTAGCTCAGCTTCCCGAAGAAGAGCCTCTTTAAAGGGAGCACTGTTTGGAACTCCTGGGTCTTTTCTAGGCTTTTTGCGACCCTGCTTTTTGGCCTCCTTCCTCAATTTTCGATGGTGCTCTCGAACCTATTATAATAAAAATTTTTATCCATTTGTAAAATTTACTAGCCAATCTGGCTAAAATTAGTTATGCCTGTAAAATAAGCCAAGAAAATTAAGTTGTAACCATAGAGAAAACAAACATTTACGTACACAACAGCAAAACAGTCACCAGGAGACTCTTTGCAGAGGTTAACACGTTGGTTGATTAGTTTGCAGACTTATCACCAAATTACTGCACTTTCCCACAGCTATACTCCTGATGTCTAAGAACTTGTGCCCATAGAGTGTATTTAATTAACTTCAATTCTGTAAGATGAAATCACATTAATCCAAACCTCCTTGTGCCCGAAAGGTGGAGCAGAAATCAGTTCAGCGTTATTATTGAACATGGGTGTTCCAAGCACAACACTTACCTTTTTTTGGATTTTATACCTTTTATGGCAGGTCATGCGTTTACTTGCTTTCTTTAACTCTACAAAGAAACCCAGCACAAGAGGATTAGACACAAAGGATCCGTTTAGTTTTTAGTGACCGGGCTCAGGGGTCACGTCCCTTTCCCTACTTAGCAATTAACGCTCAAACCTAAAAATCACATGTGGTGGATCACAAATACAGGCCATTCTAAAATCTCAAAGAATCTGGAGCAGAGCCCAACTTCCCTGCTCTCACTCTTTCCGTAACAGACTGAAACCGCACAGCAGAGCAGGAGACCCCCAGATGGCAGCCCCTTCTCGTCATACGCCACAAATCACAAGTTAGGACCGAGCAGGGGATTTCAGCGGCCCGCCTCAGACCTCAACATGGCCGAATAGGGAAGAGGCTGGGCCCACAACCGTGGCTCGGACAGGTTTACTCAGGACAATCTGGCGCGACTTTAATTTCTTAAAACATATCTGACGGAGAGAGAACACGAGCAGGCGGAGGGGCAGAATCCCCGCTTCGCAGGCGCCCACGCTCGATCCCGGGAGGCCGGGGCCGCGACCTACGCCGAAGGCAGACACCTGACCCACTGAGCCACCCAGGCGCCCCAGTGACCTTCACTGCTGTCTTCCTTTCGGCTAACGAGGGCCTTCCCCCACTCGCTTCTCCTCCGGACCCGCGCCACGGCCTGCCCGCAGGCTCCCCCGCTCCCTCAGAAGACCGCCCCGACGGTTCGCCGACCGTCAGAGACAGGCTCCTCTACACCCGCTCCCCGACCGTACTCACTCGGTCGCTTCATCCTGGGAGCGGGAACGGCGGTCGCAGCGCCGTAACCGGCGGCAGCAGCAGCAACAACGCGCCTCCGCCACGGCCACGTGTGACTCGCAGGCAGCCAAGCCCGAGCGTCACGCACCGACGCTACCGCCGTAAAGCGCGCCGCCGCCCGCTCGCGTGCGCGCGCACGCAGTGTCGTGCGGAGCCGGGTTCGCTTGGCGGCCGCGGGGCTGGTTTTGCGGCGGCACCGGGAGGGGTGAGGGCGGTGAGGGCGGCGGGTGCTGGAGCGACGGCGGCGGCCGCAGCCGGAGGAGCAATAGCAGCAGCCGTGGCGGCCACGGGGCGGGGCGCGGCGGTCGGCGACCGCGGCCGGGGCTGCAGGCGGCGGAGCGGCTGGGTAAGGCCGGGCCCGGGGCGGGCGGGGCCGCTCCCTCTCGGCCGGCTGCCGGGCCTTTGTGTGGGCCCGGGCGGGCGGGCGGGAGCAGCGGCGGAGGCCCCGCCCCGGCGTGGGGACGCGCCGGTCGGGCTGGGCGCGCGGGGCGGGGCGCGGCGGCGGGCGTCGGGACGGCCAGGCCGCCTCGCCGCACCTGCCCTGCCGGCCGGACAAAGGCGCGCCGCGGCCCGGAAGCTCCCGCTCGCTCTTTCCCGCCCCGGCGGCCGGCAGAGCCCTCGTCGCCGACAGCCTCAAAGCTGTCAACGTTTCCCTAGTCCCGGTACCAGTGACAGGTCCGGAAAGTCTTTCATTTCTTCACAGGTCAGGGCCTCCTTTTTTTGTTGTTGTTTCTTGACGCAAACTCAACTAGTGTGAAAAAAAAATTTTTTTTTTTTTTTTTACCTTCTCTAGGTGACTGTTCAGACTGAGTGTGTATATGAGTGAGACTTGTATTTATACTAGAGGCTAGATACTGAAGTGTCTTCTCCGCAGCAGCACGGAAAATCGAGGTTTTAAAATTGTACGTTTCCTGGTTTTTAATAATTTTCCACCTCTTAAAATTTTCTACCGAAAGCGTAGTTTTGTTGTGATAGAGAAGATATTGGCGATTTAAATAAAGATTGGTAAAATGTGGAAGAAATACTGAAAAAAAAAAAAAGTGGGAAATAGCACAGTATAGCAGGTATAGAAATTACCATTGTGGTTATAGAAGCGTATGTTGGTTGGAGCATAAGACATTCTTATTAATTTATCTTTAAAAAAATTTAGGGCTCCTCAAAAATGGTTTTTGAGGTGATGTTTTTCCATTAAGAGTAGTATGATTTTGCTTTATTCCTTGTTAACAGATTGCTTGTATTTTAAGATTAAAAGGAAGGAAAGTGTTTTTGAAGAAGCATTTCCAATTTCAAACAGTAACAAATGTGCGTGTGGATAAATGGAAGGGCGTTGATTGCCTTCTTTGGCTTTGGGTGTACAAAATACCTCAGATTTTGATATTTTACCCCAAACTCCAAGCTCAGTAAATTGTGGTATGTCTATATGATGGGCTGTTAACAAGCCATCAAACATCCTGTGGAAGAATGTTGACTTTTGGAAGAACCCAGAGTTTAAAACAAGTTGCAAAACAATATATATGGTTTAACACTTCGGTTAAAAAAAAAAAAAAAAGGCAACTAAGGCATAGAAAAAATACAGAAAGCCGTGAATGCCAATGTTAAGGGTGTTTTTTTTTTTTTTCTAGAATTATGTGGGGTTTTTTCCCCCCCTTTGAATTCTGTTTTCCAAGGTTCTTGTTCTATGCATGTATTATAGTATTGAGTATCAGAAATACAGGAGAGAACTTTTAGTACTCTCAAAATATACCGTGTGGCTAAAATGAGTATTTTCCCAGGTGCACATTTTAAGGTTATTCTTTAGTGTCCAATGCAAGTTACTGGTTGTCAGACTTTTGCACATGTAGCTGTAATCAGTGCCATTTTAAAATTTATATTTGAGCTCCAGAATGTATTTCCTCTTCATGGGGAGAAAATTGCTGAAGGATTGCCCACAGTCCTTTTAAACCACACAAGCTTTTTTTAATGTCCCACTTTTAATACCTTTATTTAAAAAGATAAATTGATTGTTCATACTATACCAGATACTATTCTATAAGCCAGAGCTACAAAAATGAATGAAATGTTATTAACTGGTCCCAAGGAGCATTTAATCCTGGAGTTGAAAGTTCTCTGTTGTGCTTTGAAGTTTCAAAGTGATTTCGTGTACATATCACAGTCCCAGCGCTCTAAGGCAGATATATGCACACCTGACTTCTCATTTTAGAAGTGGAGAAACAGCTCTGAGAGGTTGTGACTCAAGCAACATGAAACAGATAACTCGAAGCGGAGTACTTGGGACTCAGAATCCGGTCTTCTGAGCTCAAGTCCTGTTGCCTCTCCCACCTACCTGGCAATACTGACTTTATTGCCAAACTTCCAAAATACATTTAAAAATGTGTCCTTTGGATAAGAAAATAATTGAAAATTACCCTTAAGTTGCCTCTTTTTCTTGCTTTATCACAGAAAGTTAATAATTTAAGGAGTTTTGTATATTATGGTCTAAACTAGAATACACACGCACCAACAATTTACAATTTGTTGTCATATGCTTTTCAGTGGGTTATTTATGAAGGTAGTAATTTTGATCACTTGCCAAAATGATCAAAGGCTTTGTTTTTAATCTTTCTAAACCTGTGAGTGTTGTCTTTCTAATGCTGGTAGGACTTTTGGAAAGAAATATCTTTCTCTGAATTTTTTGTAGGGGGGAGGAGGTTTCCAGACTGTTCACATGAACCATTCTTGGTTTGTTCCAGCTTGCCAACATTTGGTGTCACATGTGAGCCTTCCACATGTGTTCACTCTCCATTCCAGCTCTGTGATTGAACTCTGCTCTTATTGACTAGGGGGCATTTGGGCAGGCATGCTTCATTCCTGGAATTGACAGTCATTCCATGTGAGTAAAGGAATCTCAGTGAGACATCTTTAAGCATATGAAAAGCATTTGTTTTAAAATTAAAAGAAATGTCAGGTACTGTTAGTGCCTGAGCCTTTGCAGGAGTGTGGCACAAGAGAACTGATATGACTATTTTCTCCAGTTCTCTTATCTTTCTTTAGCAGTTCTACTTGAATGTTTTCTATCTATTCGTAGTCATTTTTACTCCTTCTGACCTTTCTTTTTTATTTCCCCTTTCTCTGCCTGTTCTTCTCTTTCAGTTTTGAATATATTAACACTGAATCAGCACTTCTAAAGCCCTGCCTTCTCCCACTGGCTTCACTTGGCCTTCAGACATAATGAGGAGACTGGCTTTTCGAGGCGCTGGTTGTGCTCTGGTAAAGCTGGTAAATTACTGATCATCTGCACCTTTTCTCTTTTCTGTCCTTCCTTGCCTTTTCCCTTCCACTCTTCTTAAATTTTGATATCCTTTCCATAAAGATTCCCTCCTCATGTTCATCAAATTCACTTGTGTCCTTGTCATAGCTTGTATGCTGAGGTTTGGTCCTTAGGTTCTTCATTTTAATGAATTAAGACCAGTTTATCAACCTTTTACAAAAGAAAATCACCAAAACTTGGCTGTCCTTAGCCTAAGCCCTTTGAACCTTTTTAGCCAGTTGTAGCCAATTGCAAACTAACATACTGTGTAACAAACCAAAGCCTAGAGAAAGAAATATAGTTATGGTAGACTGTTTTTAAATGTCATGTGGACCATGCTTCTGAGGAAGAGATAGGAGACTCCTCTTGTTTCTAAGTTGGTTACCAGAATGTTCTATATGTTGGTTTGTTTTGCTCCTCTCAGTTCCCAGAGCTCCCCAGTTTTTCTCTCCGTAACTACTAGCAACCCATTCTTTCAGCTGCTGCTGTCTTAGTTTACTGAAATTAAATGTTGATGAGTGAAACTGGGATCAGTTTTTTCGTTTAGCTTTAGAGAAGGACCTTTGAAATCACAGTATGCTACTTGGTACTGTTGTTAAATTATATAAGAATTAAAGGACCTCAGGTATATACCCTTTTCCCTCTAGCTGTAGCATATCATTTCAGTGGTTGCATTTTTTTGTATTATAGTCAAATGTGTACATTTGTAAAGTTGTGTTTACATTAGTTACTAGACAGCCTACTTGACAGCAAATATATATGTGTTTCTGAAAGGCCAAGTAGGACCTAAAAGTTCACCTCTGAGGTACTATTCCAAATCATCTGCTGAAACTTAAAGCTGTGATTCCAAAATTCTTAGGAATGGAATACCTCATATAACTGAAAAGGAGGTCAGTCTGATTGGCAGAAAAGTTTCAAAGTAGTCTTACTGTTTTGACATAGGTATGGTAAGTCACATTAAGTGTTTTCCAGGGGTTTGTCTTGTGGCTTTCTTTAATGAATGGAGAAAATTCATTTTCGGTGGTTAGTTTTAGAGTTGATCTAAAATGTTAAGAGGTTAATTGTCCTCTGTCCCCTGCACTTTGGCACTACTCATTTGCCTCAGGCACTGATTTCTACTTTTTTCCACATCATGGCCCACCTGGAAAATGATCAGAATTGTTAGACACACTGGGGAAAACAGATGAAGCTGCTGACTCCAGAGGTGACTGCCTTGGGGCTTCTGTCCCTGCCTGGCTGCCTCAGGGGCTGAGGAATCAATACCTCCACACTGGTGTACCACTACATGTAGGTTTTTAAAGTCTGGTGAGGGGTAAGTTTGGGACCGGGCATTATTGGGTCACTCAAACTTGGTAACATATAAATTGGTTTACTTTTGTTGAATTTGCCCCATCTAAATTGAAAGTGTAGCATTCTGGTAAGTGAAGGGGCTGAAGCAACAAGGTCCAGAACTTCCACTAAAAAAACTGATAGTTAAGTTTCTTTACAACGGTTAAAATATCCTCCTAAGTGAACCAGAATCTTGGTAGCAAGTGGCTAGCTGAGGGCTTAGTGGCAGTGTCTAAATTTACGTATAAGAACATGGCTGATTATTTCTTATAGAAGAAGTTGGATTCCATGGGTTCCAAGAGAAGACGAGCTACCTCCCCTTCCAGTAGTGTCAGCGGGGACTTTGATGACGGGCACCATTCTGTATCCACACCAGGCCCCAGCAGGAAAAGGAGGAGACTGTCCAATCTTCCAACTGTAGATCCTGTGAGTAACTTGCATCACATAGTTTCTGCCTGCCTTTCCTACTCTTCCTTTAATGATAAGCAGTTAATACGCAAGGCCTCACCACCTTTTTCCTCTGGCTTGATATCTTTACTCTTTCTTTTATAGTACGTATTTAGTCAACAGTCTTAACAGTTATAATTTAATATTAAGAAATAATGGTGAGTGGGGGGTGGGTGAAATAGGTGAATGGGATTAAGAGGTACAAACTTCCAGTTATAAAACTAAGTCACAGAGATGAAAAGTACAACATAAAGAATATAGTCAACAATGTTGTAATAACATTATATGGTGACAGATAGGGACTACACTTACTGTGGTGGGCATTGAACAGTATTAGAACCATTGAATCATTGTCTTCTACATCTGAAACTAATATAGCATTGTATGTCAGGTATACTGCAATAATACTTTTTTTAAAGATTTCATTTATTTATTTTAGAGATAGTGTGTGAGCAGCGGTAGGGGCCAAGTGGGAGGAAGAAGGAAAAGTAGACTCCACGCTGAACACTTTGATTCCTATATGGGGCTCAGTCCCATGACCATGAGATCATGATTTAAGCCAAAACCAAAAGTTGGACACCCAACCGAATGAGCCATCCAGGTGCCACTCAGTAATACATTTAAAAAAAAAACATAAATATTAGGAACTCTCAAAGTACTCTGAATACATTTAGAATAAGAAATTTGCGTAAAGTTATTTGTGTTTTGATTAAAAGATGTTTCCTAAAAGTATAATCTGCCAAAGCACTTAATTCTGTTTTTTTTAAAGATTTTATTTATTCATGAAGCACTTAATTCTAGTTAAAAATAACCAAATGGGCTTAGGAATTCTACAGATCAGGGAATGGCCAACACCATAATAGAAATATGAACAAATTTTTTTTCTAGTTTTATTGAGATGTAATTGACATAACACTATATAAGTTGAAGGTGTACACTACGATGATTTGACCAACATAAATTGTGAACTAAAGCCACAATTAGTTTAACATCTGTTATCTCCTATAAATGGCCAAAAAAAGTATAGTTTTTCTTATAATGAGAGCTTTTAGGATCTACTCTTATGACAACTTTCAAATATACATAGCAGTGTTGTACATAGTTATCGTGTTATACATGACACGACATCCCCAGTGTTTATTTATAATAACTGGAAGTTTCTACCTTTTGACAAAAAGAAAAAAATATAGGTACTTCACGTTATATGTTATTCATATAACTGTGTGCTTATCATATGCCAAGCAATCACTATTCTGATGGTTGGGATATAACTGCGTGTAAGATAAGCCAGTTTTTCACAAAGAGCTTAGATTCTATTGTAGCAGAAGCAGACTGTAAACAGATGAACAAATAGATAATAAAGTACTCTCAGTTAATGATAAATGCTAAGAAAAAAAAGTTTGTGTTATTTGGGTTACTTGTGCCCAAAACTTGAGAGGTTTCTCTGTAATGGGAAGACAGTGACCCTATAGAGTACTAGGGAAGGGTATTCCAGGCAGAGGGACCCAATGAAGAGGAGCTGGGTCAGGAATGGGTTTGTTGTGTTGTGATTACCGAAAGATGGTCCAGAGGAAGAAGACGGGTGAAGTCTGCCCAGCCACTGTATGTAGGTACCCTACATACTCTGTGGTCAGTGTTTAGAGTTTAGATTTTATTCTGTCAGTAGTGGGAAGCTCCTCTTTTGGATGATTTTAACCGAGAGAGTGATATGAACTGATTTAGCTAAGGAGAAAAGAACAATCATGAGTAGCATAAATCTCGGGAAAGATACCAAAATGTTTAACCGTTAAATTTTTTTGTAAGTTTTGTTTAGGTAATCTCTATGCCCAATGTAGGGCTTGAACTCATAACCCTGAGATCAAAAGTTGGATACTTTTCTGACTGAGCCAGCCAGGTGCCCCTAATCAGTTAAATTCTTTTAAATAAGGAGATGATGTCAGCATAGTTCAGACCTGAGTTTTTGTGTGGGAACTTGGGGATTTGTCCATTTTCTTCTCTACTTGCCTTTTATGGGTATGTTTTCGTTAATGGATAATCCTTACACCTACACTAGCTTTCTGTTCACATTTCTGGCGATTTTTTTTTTTTTAAACCTTTTACTATGTATAGATTGCTGTATGCCATGAACTCTACAATACCATCCGAGACTATAAGGATGAGCAGGGCAGGCTCCTCTGTGAGCTCTTCATTAGGGCACCCAAACGAAGGTGAGTTGGAAGGTGAGTGGGAGGGATTTGATAATAGAGTTTTCCTTTGGAAGGAATGGTTTAAAGAATATTGGGGTCCAGATTTTAGTTTTAGTTGCCAGGATGTAGTGAAGCATATTTAAAAAAAAAAATTTTATTGTAAAATACATACAACATAAAATTTATACATTTTATAATTTTAAGTATACAGTTCATTAAGGGTTTTTTCATATTGTTGTACAACAGACCTCCAGAACATTGTTATATTGCAAAATTGAAACTGTACCCATTATAAAACTCTGTTCCTTTCTTCCTGCCTCCAGCTCCTGGCAGCCACCATTACACTTTCTGTTTTTCTAAATTTGACTATGCTAGAGGTCTTATATAAGTGGAATCATACAGTATTTGTATTTTGTGATGGCTTCTTTCACTTAACATAATGGTTTCTGTGGACGCCTGTGATGTAGCATTCAAAAGGATTTCCTACCTTTTGGGGGCTGAATAATATTCCACTGTATGGATATATCACCTTTTATCTATTCATCTGTTGATAAACACTTGAGTTACTTTTATCACGTGGCTCTTGTGAATAATGTTGCAGTGAAAATGGGTATATAAATATATCTTTGATGCTGCCCTCAGTTCTTTGGGATATATACCCAGAAGTGGCATTGCTGGATCTTATAGTAATTCTGTTTTTAATTTTTTGAGGAATCAGCATACTGTTTTCCATATCACTGTACTATTTTACTTTCCCACAAACAGCGTACAAGAGTTCCAATTTCTCCACATCCTTGCCACACCTGTAGTTTTGTAGTATGCTTTGAAATCAAAAAGTAGGAATCCTTGTGGTGGTTAATTTTCTGTCTCAACTTGGCTGGGCTAAGATATCTATCTTGACTGGATTCCCAGATAGATCTGTGTCAATAAGGATGTCTCTGGAAGAGATTAGCCTCTAAATAGGAGACTGAATAAAAAAGATGGCCTTAACCAGTGCAGTGGGGTATTGCCCAATCTCCTAAGGCCTTGAGTAGACCGAAAGGGGAAAGGAAGGATCAATTAGTGCTCTCTAAGCTGAGACATCCATCTGCTTCTGCCTTCGGATCTCAGAGGTCCTAGTTCTTGGGCCTTCAAACTCCTATTACTCACTTTCCTGATTCTCTGGCAGATGACAGATCCTGGACTTCCTGGCCTCGATAATCAAACGAGCCAATTCCTATAATAAGACCCATGCATGTGTGTGTCTGTGTGTGTGTCTATACATATTTGTGTGTATGTATCTCTTTCCTATTATTTCTGTTTCTCTGAAGAACCCTAGGAGAGTCTTCCAACTTTGTTCTTTTTCAGGATAGGTTAGGCTGTTTGGGGATCTTTGAGATTCTATCTGAATTTCAGGATGGATTTTTCTGTTTCTGCAAAAAGTACTGTTGGGATTTTGATAGGTATTGCATTGAATCTGTAGATAGCTTTGGGAGTATTGGTGTCTTAACAATATTTAAATTTTCTAATCTGTGAATATGGGATATCTTTCCATTTATTTGAGTCTTTAATTTCTTAGAGAGGTGTGTAGTTTTCAGGGCACAAGTTTTTCATGTTTTTGTTTAGGTTTATTTGTAATTTTTTGTTCTTTTTGATGCTATTATAAATTGGATGGGTTTTTTTCGTTTTTGGATTGTTCACTGTTAGTGTATTGAAATGCAACTGATTTTTGCATATGTTAATTCTGTATACTGCAACTTTGCTGAATTTATTTATTCTGCTCTTTTTTTGGATCTTTTAGAGTTTCTGCTTAGGAGATAATGTCATCTGTAAACAGATTTTTACTTGTTTCTTTTCATTTAGGAGGCCTTTTCTTTTTGTTGCCTAATTGTTCTGCCTAGGACTTCCAGGAATATGTTGAAAAGAAGTGGTGAGAGCAAGCATCCTTATTTTGTTGCTTAACTTAGAGGAAAAGCTTTTTTGTAATTTTTTACCATTTTGAGTACGATGGTAGCTGTGGGCTTTTCCTATATGGTCTTTATTATGTTGAAGTTCTTTCCATCTATGCCTAATTTTTTGAAAGTTTTATCCTGAAAGGGTATTGAATTTTGTCAGATTTTTTTTTTTTGCACCTGTTGAGATCATCACTCAGTTATTTTCCTTAATTCTGTTGCTATGATGCATTACTTTATCAATTTCCATTAGGTTGAATCATCCTTGAATTCCAGGAATAAACCCTGCTTGTTTATGGTTTGATGCTTTTAATATTTTGCTAGTATTTTGTTGAAAAATTTTCTAAGTGTTCATAAAGGATGTTGGTCTGTAGTTTTCTGTAACATCTTTGCTAGCTTTGGTATAAGAATATTGATGCTTTCACAGAATAAGTAAGTTTTTTCTCCAATTTTTTTTTTAGAAAAGTTGGAAAAGGATTAATTTTAGTTCTTTAAGTGTTTGGTAGAATTCACCAGGGAAGCCATTAGGCCCAGGACTTTTCTTTGCTGGGAAAGAAAAGGTTTTTTTTTGTTTTGTTTTTTAATTAAATTTTTAAATTCCAGTATAGTTAACATACAGTGTTAGTTTCGGATGTACAATATAGTGATTCAGCAATTCTGTACATTACTCCATGCTCATCACAATAAGTGTACTCTCACCCATCCTCTTACCCATCTCCACGGTAGTACAGTAGTAACGTAACCATCAGTTCGTTCTTCATAATTAAAAATCTCCTTGGTTTGTCTCTCTTTTTCCCCTTTGCTCATTTGTTTCTTAAATTCCATATATGAGTGAAATCTTACAGTATTTGTCTTTTTCTAGTCTATTTCACTTAGCATTATACCCTCTGGCTCCATCCATGTTGTTGCAAATGGCAAGATTTAGTTCTTTTTATGGCTGAGTAATATTCCAGTGTGCATATATATATATATATATATATATATATATATGGTGTGTATGTATGTATATACGTATATACATATACATATCCTCTCTTTTTAACCCATTCGTGTATTGATGGACATCTGGGGCTGCTTCCATAATTGGCTATTGTAAATAATACTGCAATAAACATGTGGTATATGTATTCCTTTGATTTTGTGTGTGTGTGTGTGTATTTTTGGGTTAATACCCAGTAGTTTTACTGGAGGATTTTTGATTATAGGTTCAGCGTCTGTTCTAGTTCTAGGTCTAGTCACGTTTTCTGTTTCTTCAAACTCAGTCTTACATGTTTCTAGGAATTTATTTTTTCTGAATTGTCTACTTCATTGGCATACAGTTGTTCATAGTCTTCTTTTATCATTGATTGTAATGTCCCCTCTTTCATTTGTGATTTTGAGTCTTCTTTTTTTTCTTAGTTCATTCAGATAAAGGTTGATCTTTTCAAAAAACCAACTCTTAGCTTTATTCCTGTTTTTGTTTGTTTTTCTATTTTCTTTTAAATCTGTTGTATATTATTTCTCCTGTTCATTTTGAGTTTATTATGTTCTTCTTTGTCTAGTTCCTTGAGAGTAAAACATTAAAAAAAAAAAAAGATTTTCTTTATTTATTTGAGAGAGTGCTCAAGAGAGTGCACAAGCAGGAGGAGGTACAGAGGGAGAAACAGACTCCCAGGTGAGCAGAGAGCCCGACAACCACATGGGGCTTGATCCCAGAACCCTGAGATGAGGACCTGAGCTGAAGGCAAACAGCAACCAACTGAGCCACTCAGGTGCCACAAGAGTGAAGTGTATTTTTAAAAATTATTTACAGTCTTTAAGATAGCAATGAAGTTGTAGCTATCATTGTTAAAAGGAATCTGTTTTCAAAATATACAGAGGCCACAATGATTATGTTCATCTTGCTTGTTTTTCTTTGTGCCTGTACTTTTGGGTTTGACTTCTCTGGTCCAATGAAACAAAACATATTGCTGGCCCAGTATGTACATTGCACACACCTCCCTGTAGAGGCTGTGTTCTCCCTGCCAAGAGGTTCCTTCTCTTGCTATCAAAATGACATCACTATTCCCTTCTAACTCTGGTAGTTGGAGTACATAAGTGTGGTAGACAGAATAATGGCCCCCAAATATGTCCATGTAATTTCTTAATCAACTAACTTTGCATTGGAGAAATTATCCTGAATTATCCAAATGGGTTCAGTGTAATCTCAAGGGTCCTTAAAAAGGGAGGGGGGAGGCAGAAAAGTCAGAATCCGAGAGGGATTTGGAGATGCTACACTCGTGACTTTGAAGATGGAGGAAGGGGGCTACAAGCAAAGGAATGGAGGCAGCCTCTAGAAACTGGAACAGGTGAGGAAATGGATTCTTCCCTAGAACCTCTAGAAGGCCAATACCTTGCTTTTTAGTCCAGTGAGACCCATTTGGGACTTCCAAAAGATAATAAATTTGTGTTGTTTTAAGCCATTAAGTCTGTGGCAATTTGTTATGGCAGCTGTAGGAAACTAGTACAGTGAGTTAACTAAGGATTTAGATTCATTCATGACTGTTGATTGCATGGTGGGTAATGAACAAGCTGAAGGTTGAGCTGAAGGCAAACATTTCACCTCAAAGAGCAGAGCCATTAAGAATACAGTGTCAGCATCCTGAATTAAAGGATGTAGATTAGTCATGGCCAAAAAAGAAGGGCTCTTTTTAAAAACAGATAACTGCTTCCAGATTTGTTGGTTTATCATAACAGTCTTTTGTTATTTTTTTTAAGATTTTATTTATTTATTCATGAAAGACATACAGAGAGAGAGAGAGGCAGAGACACAGGCAGAGGGAGAAGCAGGCTCTATGCAGAGAGCCTGATGTGGGACTCCATCCCGGGACTCCAGGATCATGCCCTGGGCCAAAGGCAGGCACTAAACCACTGAGCCACCCAGAGATTCCCCATAACAGTCTTTTAAAATGTTATTTAATTAGCATGTAATAAAAGCCCATTTTTGTTATTTACCACATGTTAGCCACAATGCCAAGCACTTCCTTATATTGTTTAAACTTGACAAGTATTATTATTGTGGTTTATAGATGAGATTTTGCATAAGATCTCAGAACTACTCTACTCTACTCTACTCTCTAACCAGGTAGAGACACTCAAATCTTTCTGATTCTGAAGCCTGTGCTCTTAACCTGTATGCTGTAGAGAAGAGCAGCATCATACTGGAGTACACAAACTCCTCATAGAAGAGGACTGCCTCTGTTGCCTGCTTCCCACCAGTAGGCTAGTCCTGAAGAGTGCCTTTGGGTGCTAGAGCACAGTCTTCTAGCTTCCAAGTTGTGGTACCCTATGAGCACTGATTGCCTTCCCCCCAGTGCTGTGCCTGAGGGCATCTCTACCCCTCTGTGGAATGTATATATTTTCTTAAGAGTTTGTGGGAATCTGTAATACTCAGAGCTACACAATTGTGAATCTCTTTTTTGGGACTTTGTTTTGATCAGTATATTAAGCTTCTTGTGGGGCACCTGGGTGGCTCAGTTGGTTAAGTGTCTGCCTTTGGCTCAGGTCATGATCCTAGGTCCATGTAGCCTCAAGTCCGGCTTCCTGCTCAGCATAGAGTTTGCTTGTACCTCTCCCTCTGTTCCTCCCCGCCCCCTTCTCTCGCATTAACCTTTAAAAAAAAAAAAAAACTACTTGTGTTAAGACATCCAAATTAACAGTGATTGAAACAAGAAAAATTGCTTTTTCTCATATAAAAGTCCTGTTTTGTAAAGGCCTCAGGGCCTAGGTATTATGTGTCTCTTTCCTCTGCTCTCCTTGTGATATCACTCTTGTCTGCATGGTCTGAGATGGCTCACCCTCATAGCTATCTTCCAGCCCATAGGAAAAAATAAGGCATTTTAAGGATGTGACCTGGATATGGTACACTTCAGCTCTTGTATTGGTCAGAACTTAGCTGCAGCAAGGCTGATGAAGATGTTCTTTGGTAGCCACGCAGCAGCTCGGAATGCTGCCATCCTGGGGATAGGGAAAAGATTGGAAGGTAGCAGGCTCCACATATCAGGCCCAGTATTTCTCACTCTTCTGGCTAAAAGTGTCAGTTATGGTTTGGCTCTTCTGTGGCCATGTCATAGCAGGGTGCCACGTGTTGAAAGAGAAAAGCTGTTGTGCAAGAATTTGTACTGCACAATCCTGTTTGTATATACATGCACATGGAGGTCTGAAAGGATACTACTAATAGTGCTTTTATCTCTGGATGAGTAGGGACAATTTTTATTATTTTATGCTTTTCATATGTTGATTTAAGTAGGAAAAATTAGTGGAAATCTTTTATTTTGAAAGGGAGAGGCCCTTGTTTTGACCTTATCACACACACAGTGGAATGTTGGGATCCTGACCTCCCTTTTGTCTGTGTGCTAAGTCTGAAAATGTTTGTGAGGAGCCCTCTGACAGAGCTTCTGGGAGAAAGTATCCTTTCTAGGTGCAGGTCCTCAATTGGGTTCTCAGTTGTCTACAGATAATCCCCCAAATCTGAGAGGCTGCTGAGGTCCAGCCTCAAGAAGGAGCAATAGACTGGCCCATCAGGCCCAGGTAGAGAGAACCCTGGTGGATCTCAGGTTAACACAGCCCTAACGCTCACTCTGAGAAAGTCCCTTGGCATCACTGACAACATCAACATTAGGCCTGGATGGTCCTTTGTTGTAATTCACTGAGACCTTTATGTTCCTGCACTTTCTCCAGATAGTAAAATGAGCACTCCTTTAATCTCCTAATACTTAATTTCATAGTTTACTAAAATCATAAATAGTTGGTAAGAGCTTTAAAAAATTCAATTTACTTTTCCTTTTCTTTTCCCTTCCTGAAGAATTTAATCCAAAAGCCATTAGATGAGACTGAGCAAACTTGCCATCTGCCAGGAAGATAGGTGGTGGGATGTTGCGGGGAGGGTTGTGGATAGTAGCAATATCACATCACACAGTGTCAGAGCCTGGGCATGGTAAAGAAGAGGCTTATGTTGAAGGACTTTCTGGCATGGGGTGTTGAGGCCTAAGTGGAGGGAGGATGTCCATGTTGAGGGAGTAGTAGTGACAATGGTCCGTCATGGGTGGAGTAAGGAGGGCTACATGGGGTGTGGCCTAGCCCAGGGCAAGGGGTCATAGACTTAGTGAGGGGAGGAGAAGCATTGTGGGATGGAGGTAGGCAGCATCAAGAGGAGATTGGTTATAAACAGGAGACCAATCACGTACGTAATACATTGTGAATAAATAGGACTCAGGTTTCTCATCTGACAAAGGAGGTACACATAGGGGAAGAAAACTAGAATGAACCCTGTGGTGTAGGATTGGAATTGAAAGTGTTGGTGTGAAAAGAAAAATTAAAAAAAAGAAAGAAGAAAGTGTTGGTGTGAATTCATGGTTTCCAACATATGTAGATAATAGAAATGTAGATATAAGTAAGCATATGTCTGTCCCCTGCTCTGTCCCGTGAGACACAGCCTGGGAGTGGTAACACACAAGGAGACTTGAGCACATCCAGCACCTTGGACGTCGTTTTTAAATACCATTTACCATTGAAAGGAACCAGAATTATTTGGGGAAATGGTTGATTTGAAGGGCAAGTACAAGATGAGCCTGTAACATCTTAGGCTGCCAGAAAGTAAGCAGACTGGGCAGCCTGGGTGGCTCAGAGGTTTAGCACTGCCTTCGGCCCAGGGCGTGATCCTGAAGATCCTGGATCGAGTCCCACCTCAGGCTCCCTGCATGGAGCCTGCTTCTCCCTCTGTCTGTGTCTCTGCCCACCTCTCTCTCTTTCTCTGTCTCTCATGAATAAATAAATAAATAAATCTTTTTAAAAAAGGAAAGTAAGCAAGCAGATGTTCAAAGGGTGATGGGAACATGTCAGAAGTACATAGATCAAACATCTTGAAGGACTATTCCTGGCCCAACCTTGAGCAGTTTGAGCATCAGAATAATTAGTGTAATGGGTTTTAATGACTTCAGAAGTCCATATTGATATAAATAAGTGAGTAAATTGATTAGGGATGGACTTTTACATAGTCTGGAGGTACTGCTCCATAAAGTACAGGGAAGAAAACAGTAGCTCTGTCAGTTGAGAAGCTTGGCAGATGCCACTATATAATCAAGTGATCAGAATGAGCCCCAGAGTAAGAACTGAGACAAGTTGAAATCTTGTGTCACCTGAAAGGATACAGTGTGACGAATGCGGTATCATTTCTGTCGTAGTCTTACCAAAGTGTACCCTGCATTTATTCATCAGAAAAACAGACAAACTCAAATTGAGGGACACCCTATAAAATAACTGTCAAGATCCTGAAAGTTGAGGAAAGACTGAGGACCTGTTTTAGAATGAAAGAAACTAAAGAAATATATATGCAGTATGTGATTCTGGACTTGATTGGCTGTAAAGGACAATTTTGGAACCGTTACAGAATATGAATGGGGTCTGAGGATTAGATGGTGGTACTGTAGCAGAATCAGTTTCCTGATTTTGATGTTTGTGCTTTGGTACTTGTTTATAGGAAATACTAAATTATTCAGGGGCCATAGAACCTCATGTCAGCAGCTTATTTTCAAATGGTTCAGAAAAACATGCTTTGTACTATTCTTGCAATTTTTATGTCAGAATAAAAGATTTTAGGAATTAAATATATCCCACATAAAGGGCTGTAAAATGTCAGCCAAGAAAGATTAAAGCCTTTGTGACCATGACATTCTTTGTAAGGTAGTAACTTATTTCTTATCCATCTAGAATGGAGTTAACTACCTACCCCTGAGGGAGAATTGAGAGAAATAGTCACTGAGATAATTTTTCAGGAGATTTACTTGTTTAATGAAATTTCATTTGAAAAAAGACAGACGGTGATGGGCATTAAGAAGGACAAGTGATGGGATCCCTGGGTGGCGCAGTGGTTTGGCGCCTGCCCAGGGCCCAGGGCACGATCCTGGAGACCCGGGATCGAATCCGACGTCAGGCTCCCGGTGCATGGAGCCTGCTTCTCCCTCTGCCTGTGTCTCTGCCTCTCTCTCTCTCTCTCTCTCTCTCTCTCTATCATAAATTAAAAAAAAAAAATAAAAAAAGGACAAGTGATATAATTAGCACTGGGTATCATATACAACTGATGAATCACTGATATGTTAATTAATTGAATTTAAATAAAAGAAAATCAGAATAATAAACATCCATGAACCCAAAACCCAACTTAAGAAATTATCATTTATAACTACCTTTGAAGTTCCTTTGTGACCTTCACTATCTCTCCTCTCCAAGAGACAGATAATCACTATTCTGGATTTAGTATTTATCATTCCTATGTGTTTTGGGTTTTCTTGTTTTGTTTTGTTTTGTTTAATGGTTTGGTCATGTTTGTTTTTGTCTTAGGACTTTTATCTTTGGTAAACTCCCTGTGCCAAGGACCTCATCTTTCTCCTCTGTAAGTTTAGTAATTGCTATCAGAGCAGTATATATAGTAGGCACTTGGTAGTACTTGGCAGAAAAAGTTCTGGTCACTAAATGAAGAGACAGTCCATTTTGTAAGTTTGCAAAGAGCTTTGAAAATGAATGTTTTCAGCCACAATTGAACACCATGAAAGGTAAGTTATTTTCATTTGCAGAAGATGCCAGTGACATAGTTTTAGTGCTGGTGCCCTAAATCTTAGATATTTAGCATATAAATAACCATTACAGATGTTAAGTTAGGTTTTTATGTTGCTAATATATACTTAGAAAAGGGCTTGCATATGCACTTGCTTTGGTTATTCCTTTTCAGTTGTAATAATAGGAATAAGTCTCCTATGTTCTGTCACTTGGGAGGTTGGACATGACCACAAGTAGTTTTGAAATATAACTTTTTATGGACTTTGGACTAATACCTTTTTTAAAAAAATTACTACAGAAATCAACCTGACTATTATGAAGTGGTTTCTCAGCCCATTGATTTGATGAAAATCCAACAAAAGCTAAAAATGGAAGAGTATGATGATGTTAATCTGTTGACGGCTGACTTCCAGCTGCTTTTTAACAATGCAAAGGCCTATTATAAGGTAAGAAAGCACCGTATTTAGAAGGTATCCAATTAGAGTAATAGCTTGGCTTTTTAAATATTTATCAGTCTAGTAGGTAAGTAGTGTTTTCTCATTTGGTGGTTTGAGTTTGTTTCTTTTAATAAAGAGACTGAAGATTCATGTAGCACGTACCATTCTCGTTTCTTTTGTGTCTGTTCAAATCTTTTGCCAGCTTTTCTCTTGAGTTGTCTGTCATTTTCATATTTATTTCTAGAAGTTTTTTTAATATATTCTAGATATTAATCCTCTTTGGTTTGTATTTATTGCTGTCATAGTCCACTGTGAGGCTGTTTTCATTCTTTATGGTGTCTTGATGAACAGAAGATTGTTTTAATATAATCCAGTCTATTACTCTTTAACTTTGTGGTTTGTCATTTGTGTCTTGTTGCAGAACTCCCTCTCATCCAAAGATTATAAAGACACTCTTATATTTTCTTCTAAAAGTTTAATAGTTCTGTCTTTCACATATAAACCTCTAAGGCAGCTCAGATTGGTTTTGTGTCTTCTGCGAGGTAGAGTTCTATTTTGTTTCTGAATGGGGATAAGCATCACCTTGAAGTGGCCATCTCCATGTCCATCTACACTTTCAGTGCTGGCACCATTTCCCTGGACTGTTGGGTCCCTTTCTGGCCCTTTCTTCTGTTCCTTTTGTTTCAGCTCACTTGGCTGTTTCTTGCCTTAATAATTATGGCTTTATAATTCTTTATCAGTTAAGGAAGGACTGGTTATTGATTATTCTTGATTATTCTTGGCCCTTATACATTTATATGTTGTGTTAAGCACACACAAAAAAGGAAGTTTTGGGCAGTCCCTGTGGCGCAGCGGTTTAGGGCCGCCTGCAGCCCAGGGCGTGATCCTGGAGACCCTGGATCAAGTCCCACGGCAGGTTCTCTGTATGATGCCTGCTTCTCCCTCTGCCTGTGTCTCTGCCTCTCTCTCTCTCTCTGTCTCAATGAATGAATGAATGAATGAATGAATGAATAAATAAATAAAATCTTTTAAAAACAAAAAAAAGGAAGTTTTTTTTTTTTTTTTAATTTTTATTTATTTATGATAGTCACACACACAGAGACATAGGCAGAGGGAGAAGCAGGCTCCATGCACCAGGAGCCCGATGTGGGATTCGATCCTGGGTCTCCAGGATCGCGCCCTGGGTCAAAGGCAGGCGCCAAACCGCTGCGCCACCCAAGGATCCCAAGGAAGTTTTATTGGAATTGCATTGACTCTGTGGATCAATGATATTGTGGGGAATTGACATAATTGTGATATTGATTATTCCAGTCTTTGAATTTGGTATATTGTTTATTTAAGTCTTCTTTAAATTAAAGTGTAGAATTCGGGAGCTCCTGGATGGCTCAGTTGGTTAAGTTTCCAATTCTTGATATCATCTCAGATCTTGATCTCAGGGTTGTGAGTTGAAGCCCTGTGTTGGGCTCCACACTGGGTATGGAGCCTATTTTATTTTATTCTATTTTATTTTTTAATTTAATTTAATTTTTTAAAAAGATTTTATTTACCCTTTCATGAGAGACACACACAGAGAGAGAGAGAGACAGAGACACAGGCAGAGAGAGAAGCAGGCTTCATGCAGGGAGCCCGATGCAGGACCCCAGGATCATGCCTCAGGCCAAACGCAGGTGCCAAACCACTGAGCCACCCAGGCATCGCTGGAGCCTACTTTAAAAAATAATAAAGTGTAGAATTCGGGGGGTTTTGGTGTATTCACAAAGTTGTGCAAACATCACTATTACTTAACTCCAGAATATCTTCATTACCTCCAAAAGAACCATAGGCATTAACAGGTGCTCTCCATTTCCCTCCTCCCTGCCCCTGGCAACCACTAATCTATTTTCTTTCCTTGTGGATTTGCCTGTTCAGTATGTTGAATATGAATGGAATCAAATACTACATTGCCTTAGGTGACTGACTTCTTTCACTGAGCATGTCTTTGAGGTTCATTCATTTTGTAGCATGTATTAGTACTTCATTCTTTTCTGTGACTAGATAATAGCTGTTATATGGCTATTCCACCCTTTGTTATCCATTTCCCAGTTGATGGGCATTTGCATGGTTTCTACTTTTACCTATCATGAATGAAGATGCTATAAATTTTGTGACTAACAGGGGTACTGTTCACTGGATACAGGATTCTGCCTGTGTCCATCAGACCTAGCTTCTTAATTATGTCACTAAAATCATTGATATCCTTAACCGATTTATCTGCACAAACTATTTACCAAATGAAGTATTTTAAAATCTCTCACTCTGACCATGGATTTGTCTGTTTCTACTTATAACTCTGTTGGTCTTTTCCTTTATGTATTTTTAAACTATGTAACTGGGAACATACAAGTTTAAAGTTGTTACATTGTCCTAGTAAATTGAAATTTTTTCATTATGTAGTGTCATTAGTAAGGTCTTTTGTTTGAAGTCTGTTTTATCTGATATTAACATAGTTCTATCAGCTTTTGTTTTTATCTAGTTAATTTTTTCCCATTCTTTTCCTTCAGCCTTTTCACGCTAATATATCTCTTGTAAACAGCATATATGTGAATTTCTATTAATACAGGTGATGATCTTTTTAACTGGATTTCATCTCTTTACAGTTTTAGTAATAACATTGTTTGGATATATTCTTGTCATCTAAATTTCTACTTTCTGTTTATCTCATTTTATAATTTTTTTTCCTGTTTTTCTTTCTGCCTTCCTTAGGTTACATTTTGTTATACCCTCTTATTTTCTCTGTAATTTGGGGGTTGTAAGATGTGTTGGCAACCTGTTACTTCTTACTCAAGAAGTTTTAATATGCATAATTAATTTATCAAATTCAAAAGTTAATCAGCATCTTAAATCTCCTCTGAACAATACAAAGACCTTATAACAATTCAACTCTGATCTATTTATGCTACTGATGTTTTGTGTTTTAGTTCTGTTATGGCAGAATTTTTTTTTAAGATTTTATTTTTGGGCACCTGGGTAGTATACAGTCAGATGAGCATCCAACTCTTGATTTTGACTTGGGTCATGATATCAGGGTCCTGGGATCAAGCCCCACATTGGCTCTGCTCAATGGGGAGTCTGAGGATTCTCTCCCAGCCCTTCCCCCACCACCCTTCCCCCTCCTCGAGTTCTCTCCCTCTCAAATCAATAAATCTTTAAAAAAAAAAAAATTTTTTTTTAAGTAATTTTTGCACCTAACATGGGACCGGAACTCACAATCCTGGGATAAAGAGTGGTATGCTTCACTGACTGAGCCAGCCAGGCACCCCTGTTGTGGCAGATTTTTAATCCTGTAAAAGAATGTTATTGTTTTATAGATAATCAGTATTTGTTTTTAATCACATTCTACTCTTTATTCTTTTTTTTTTTTTTAAGTTTAAGTAATCTTTAATCTTTAAAACCCAGTGTGGGGCTTGAACTCATGGCCCTGAGATCAAGCATCACATATCCTTCTGACTGAGCTAGCCAGGTGCCCCTATTTATTTATTTGCTATCAAGAAGTCCATGTAATTTTAGTTCCTTTAAAGATTAGCTATCTTTTCTTTCTAGCTGTTTTTGGTGTCATTATCTCATGTGTTCTGCAGTTTCATGGTGATATATCTAGATATGGATGTCTTTGTATAGTCTGGGGTTTGATAGGGCTTTCTAAATCTTTGGTATTTTTCATCAGCTCTGAGAAGTTTGCAACTGTTTTGTCTTTACATGCTGTCCCTGCCCCACTCTCCCTTCTGATAGAACTCTGATTGTTCTATTAGACCCCTCCCAGGTCTCTGTTCTCCTAACCTTTCATAGTCCACTTTTTAGTGCCTGTGTTGCTCTTTAGTTAATTTCTTTAGTTCTTCCAGTTTTCTTTGAAACTCTTAGACCTCTCTATTGAGTTCTAACTTTTTAATATTTATATTTTTCATATTGTGGAAGTAGTTTATTTTTCAGGGTCTCCTGCACTTTGCTTATATTTTTCAATCCTATTGTTTCTTTAAACATGTTCAACACACTTATTTTTCATTCAATGGCACATAATTCCAATATCTGAAATCTTGCATATCTGATTTTACGGTGATTTCTCCTGGCTTTCTTTTGTGATTATTTCCTTCTTTTGTGTTTTAGGAATTTTAACTTTAAGCTCATATGTCTTGGAACTTGATCTCTAGAGATTGAGGCTTAGATTGAAGTTCGGTTCATTCAGGTAGTGTGTCACTTATCCCAGGTACCTGGCCTGTCTTTGTTAGAGCTAGCATATGATGAAGAATTCTCAGTGGAGATTTATCTTGGGCCTCCCCTCACCTTGCAGTGCTGTGGTTTGGGATAATAAGCACAGGTTAGCTGAGTGGAGGTTGAGATGGGTAGTGTTGTTTCCAGGCATCTCTCAACAGAAACTGAATTGTTTTGAATTCCCACTTACACTGCAGCTGTGGCCTTTGAAGTCCCAGCTTCTGGTGGGCCCTGACCTTTATCTCCTGTCCTTGCAGCCTCAGAGAGCCTTGAAAACTAAAGCTTGGGTTTATCTTGTCTTACAAAAGCTCTCAAGTGAACATCAGCTTCAGTGTTGTGCTTGCTCATCTGGGTTCCTGCTTTTACTCTATTCTTTTTGTTGTTGTTGTTAAAGATTTTATCCATTCATTCATGAGAGACAGAGAGAGAGAGAGAGAGAGAGAGGCAGAGACACAGGCAGAGGAAGAAGCAGGCTCCATGCAGAGAGCCTGCCGTGGGACTTGATCCTGGGTCTCCAGGATCAGGCCCTGGGCCGAAGGCAGTGCTAAACCGCTGAGCCACCCAGGCTGCCCCTTTTACTCTATTCTTGCTCTTTTGAGCATTGCTTACTCCTTATTGGCAGCGTGTCGGTACATTTTTAAAGTTACGTGTTATTTATTTTAACATTGCTTCCAGCATTGTTTTTACTGAGAAGTTTCAGTTAGAGTTTATCCCTGTTACACTTTAGGAAAAGAAGTCTTTAAATAAAGTAGTAAACACCTTAAAAATAGAAGTAGTACTAGGGCAGCCCCGGTGGTTCAGCGGTTTAGTGCCGCCTTCGGCGCAGGGCGGGATCCTGGAGACCCAGGATCAAGTCCCACGTCAGGCTCTCTGCATGGAGCCTGCTTCTTCCTCTGCCTGTGTCTCTGCCTCTCTCTCTGTGTGTGTTTCTCATGAATGAATAAATAAAATCTTCAAAAATAAATAAATAAATTGCGTTTCTTTATGTATGAGTAATTAGTCTTAATTTATAAATTGTTTATCTTCTTCAAGTCTTAATGTAATGAGTTAGTAAGGCATACATAAGTATTATTTCAGAATGCCTTTAAAACATGTTCTTCAGAAGAGAAATGGAGGCCCATGTATCTTTTAATCATAAGGATTTCTAAATTTGTAGCACAGTTTCAAAGTTAATGCCTTAGAATGCTAGTCTCTGCTGGAATAGAACGCTTTAAAAGTAGTCATTGATTTGCAATAAAATACTAAAGTGAGGGGTTTTTTTCTCTTATCTTTGTTAATGTACAGCCAGATTCTCCTGAATATAAAGCTGCTTGCAAACTCTGGGATTTGTACCTTCGAACGAGAAATGAGTTTGTTCAAAAGGGAGAAGCAGATGATGAAGATGATGATGAAGATGGACAAGACAATCAAGGCACAGTGACGGAAGGAGTAAGTGTACAACTGGAGCAAGTAGGATGGACCATTGGGAAGTGGACAAGACCCCTGCCTGTGATTTCTTCTGTGCCACTATAGGCAGCTGGGCTTCCTGTGAAGTTGTATTGGTAACGAGGAGGGTAAGGGGGCATATGACCAGAGAGGTTGTTTTCATAAGTTACTCTTACATTAAGGCATATTTCCTGCTCAGTTTTAAGGAGAACTTTCATACTTTCAAGTACTATTCCAGTCTTGCTAGATTGAAATAGTAGGCAGTGTTGTGATTAAAAGTTGGAGAGTTGGGACGCCTGGGTGGCTCAGCGGTTGAGCATCTGCCTTTGGCTCAGGGTGTGATCCCAGGATCTGGGATTGAGTCCCGCATCATGCTCCCTGCGTGGAGCCTGCTTCTCCCTTTGCCTGTATCTCTGCCTTTCTGTGTCTCTCATGAATAAATAAATCTTAAAAAAAAAAAAAAAAAAAGTTGGAGAGTCATTGGAATCATCTTCAGGATATTTTTTGTAGGTTAGACTGGTATGATTCCTAGAACATGCCAAATGTGCTCCTGCCTGTAGGATTTTGTAGGTGCTTTTCTGCTTAGAACATGCTTCCTTTGGCTCTGTGACTGGCTCTTTTTCATGATTCTTAGATCACTTAAAATAATGACAGCTAGGAGTGGACTTTCCTGACCACCTGTCTAAATTGTTTGCCGTGCACCCTTCCTTTTTCCATCATCACAGCACTCTGTTCTGTGGTCCTCAGTTTTTTGTCACTGTATGTGGAAATAATTTGTTTGTTTACATATTTACTTACTTTCTTCCTCCATAGATAGAGCCACAAAAGATACCACCTTATTCACTTATTCCTGGCATCTAGATTGCCTAGTGTGTAGGTATTGATAAATACTTGATGAATGAACATACATGTTTAAAAAGAAGAAAAAGGATAATAAAAGTAAGGACATCTCTCTTCTGTAGCTAAATAGTGAGACACCCAAAGCAGAGCATTCCCCTTTCTTCCTAAGTTAACCTAAATAGACCTTTTCCTCAAACTTCAACACAGAAAAAAGAAGTGGTAGGTAAATTTCTCAAAAATGTAAATACTTGGGGGCGCCTGGTAACTCACTTGGTTAAGCATCTGAGTCTTGGTTTTGACTCAGGTCGTGATAATCAAGACCCACGTTCTCTGTGCTCAGCGCAGAGTCAGCTTAAGATTCACTCTCCCACTCCTTCCGCCTCCCTGCCACTCACACGTACACATGCTCTCACTTCTCTCTCCTCTCTCTTAAAAAAAAAAAAAAATGTCACCACTTCTTAGAGTCTCAAAATGCAGTTTTTAGGCAACTTGTCAATTTTTTTTTAGCAGTTAAATGATTAGAATTAGGTAGAGGCAGTTAACTAGGGATTCCCTGGAATTTTACTCTCTAGTATTAATAGAGGAACAGCAACTTACCCATTGCTTTTTTGGGAGAACATTACCTACAGAGGGCTCAGGCTTATTGTAGGCTTCCAGGGTTCTAGTCAAACAGTGAAGCCACTTGCATTTAGGACTTGCCTATGTTTCTTTAGTATGAAATTGGGAGGATCTTGCACATTCATATTTGTACTTGCCAGGCTTCTTCTTAGCTCTAAGTTCTTGTGAAGGGAGAGGGAATTTTCAGGCTTCTCATTTATGACTCATAGAGATTTCCTTGGAGTTTTCCCATTTGTGGCAATAGGTTGTATGGATGCATTCACACACCACGTTCCAGGTTACCTGCAACACATGTTTCCAAAGTAGCTGGTTGGTTTGGAGGGAGAGGAATCTTGGCTGCAGAAAAGAAGTCTCCTCTTTTGAAAGCTCTGTGGTACTGTGTTTTAGCCAGGAAGTAAATGACTTAAGCATGGGTATATTTAGTCTCCTTTCATCAGTGTTTTGTTGGTTCTCTAAGCTTAGGTGGTTGGAGACCCTCAGCTAATCATGTTTTATTTGTTAAATATTTATTATGTGTCTGTTATTGCCAGGTACTGTGTCAGGCCCATGAGATGTTAGTGTTCCATCTATGGAATTCATGTTGGACCTTAAAATTGAGACTGCACTAAATAAAAAAGATCTGTTAAATGAGAACACAAATACCAGTGCTTTTATGATTTAAGCCAGAAATACCATTAACCTTTCTTTTATATGCACAAAACATGGTTTGGTCCTGAAGTACATTTTCTATAACTCTTTTCTTTTCTTTTCTTTTCTTTTCTTTTCTTTTCTTTTCTTTTCTTTTCTTTCTTTTTTTTTCTTTTCTTTCCTTTCTTTCTTTCTTTCTTTCTCTTTTTTTTAAAGATTTATTTATTTATTTATTCATGAGAGAGACAGAGAGGCAGAGACATAGGCAGAGAGAGAAACAGGCTCCATGCAGGGAGCCCGATGTGGGACATGATCCCAGGACTTGAGGATCATGCCCTGGGCGGAAGGCAGATGCTTAACCACTGAGCCACCCAGGTGTCCCCTTTTTTCTTTTTTTAAGACTTATTTATTTATTTTAGAGAGAGTGAATGTGGCAGGGAGGGGCAAAGGGAGAAGAAGAGAGAATCTCAAGCAGATTCCCTGCTGAGCATGGAGCCCTTCCCAGGGCTCAATCTCAACCCCAAGATCACGACCTGAGCCAAAAGAGTCAGATGTTTAAACAACTGAGCCGCCCAGGCACCCCCATTTCCTAGAACTCTTGATTTACACATGCCATTGCTTGCTATAGAACCAACTTCAGACTCAAACCCTTCTTGGCCAAGTACACTTTAGGGCATATACTTTCCCATGTTGAAACAGTGACCAAGGTAGGAGTCAGTCAACCAGTCTGCAGGGCAGAAGTAATGTGCATAATTTGATTTAATCTCCATTCACTTTTGAGATAGCTTGAATTCTGTTGGTAGATCCGGCCGAGCACCCCATGGGTAGAAGTATGTATTTTCAGCTTTATGTATGTCCTTGTTCTACCAAAATAGACTTCAGTAGACAGAAACAGCGGGTGTAAAGAGGTATCAGGACATATTTTGTGTCTCAGTTGCTCAGACCCTAAAAAGGTTTGTTTCCACCATTTCACACATATGGCACTTGAATTTCACTGTTACAGTGTTTACTGTGGAATAGAGTTCAGGAAAAGGCCCTGAGCCAAGGGATTTAGTTACTGACACAATGTAAGGAGCCTCGTTAGTTTCACATAGGCCGTGCCCAGGGTACAAGCCTTATGTCCAACATCAGAGTGTTTCTGTGGTATTCTTGTCTTTCTAAATAAGTGTAACTATTTACTAGTTGCTTTTTTTAAATTGACTTTAATATTTTAGCATTTATTTTTGGGTTTCTCTCACAGAATCCTTCTCACTCCTTTCTTTCCTGCTAACCCCCTCCTCCCAGTCTTCTCCAAGTTACTTGAAGGAGATCCTGGAGCAGCTTCTTGAAGCCATAGTTGTAGCCACAAATCCATCAGGACGTCTCATTAGTGAACTTTTCCAGAAACTGCCTTCTAAAGTGGTAAGTGATACAATTAAAGCATGTTTTTATTTTGTTTTTTTTTTTATTTTTCAGTACTTCAGAAAATTTATTAGTTCTTAGTAAATAAGGTAAAATTAGTGAAAGGCATTGGAGGCTGCCAAGAGGTCTTCCTTGAGGCTGCAGCAGCAAGCACATAAGATATGTTGTGTGATTTTACCTCACCTAAAAGTTGTGGGTTTAAAACAATTGATTGGTTATTGCTGTTTTTTTTTATTGCTGTAAAATATACTTGAGATTTACTGTTTAGCCATTTTAAATGTACAGTTCAGTGATGTAAGTACCTTCATAGTGTATGTTCATCTCTTTAATTGAAAAATCTATCCATTAAACAATAACTCCCCATAAAATTAGACTAAAATTAAATCAATAAAATAAAACAACAAAAAATAACTCCCCATTCCCACTTTGGCAACTACCACTCTGTTCTCTCTGTGAAATTGACTAAGTAACTGATGATAAGACTCATAAAATATTTATCTTTTTATATCTGACTTCTTTTATTTAGCATAATGTATTCAGGGTTTATCCATGTTGTAGCATGTGTCAGAATGTCCTTCCTTTTTATTTTTTATTTTTTTAAAGATTTTATTTATTTATTCATGAAAGACACAGAGTAGAGAGAGAGGCAGAAATACCAGGCAGAGGGAGAAGCAGGCTCCATGCAGGGAGCCTGATGTGGGACTTGAGCTCGGGACTCCAGGATCACACCCTGGGCCAAAGGCAGGCACTTAACCACTGAGCCACCCAGGGATTCCCTGTCCTTCCTTTTTAAAGCTAAAACTCCATTGTGTGCATATACCATATTTATCCATTCATTTGTCAGTGGACATTTGGGTTGTTTCCAAGATTGGTAATTATTAAATAGCAAAATAAATAAACTAAGCCTTTATTTATAAAATAGAAAACATTCTCTTTGCTCATGAGACAGAATGAGAGGAAGATAAATTACTTCTTCCTCTTTTAGTTCTCTTGGCTCTCCTGGTGATGGAAGAGAGAATGATCTACTAGTAATCTTCTACCCCAAAGAGGAAAAGGTTTCCCAGACTAGTGAGCCCCTTATTTTTATTTATTTATTTTTAAAGATTTCATTTCTTTATTCATGAGAGACACAGAGAGAGGCAGAGACACAGAAAGAGGTAGAGGTAGAAGCAGGCTCCATGCAGGGAGCCGGATGTGGGACTTGATCCTGGAACTCCAGGATCCCGCCCTGCACTGAAGACATATGCGCAACCACTGAGCCACCCACGTGTCCCAAGTGATAACTTTTAAAAGTGGCAGGGCCTCATGTGGCTTCATACACAAAAGACAGTGAACGTAGGTAAAATTCCACTGTAGTGTGTGGAACTACAAAAATTTCCATGGCCTAAGCATTCTTGTATTTCTAGACAAGGATATACTTGTAGATGTACTCCACTATAGCACTTAATTCCATTGTGATCATTTACTTTTTATCTACTTCCTTCCCTGGTCCCTGAATTTAAGAACAAAGATTAGGGGCATCCCTGGGTGGCTCAGCGGTTTAATTTTTAATTTTTTTTAAGATTTTATTTATCCACGAGAGACACGGATGGGGGGGCAGAGACACAGGCAGAGGGAGAAGCAGGCTCCATGCAGGGAGCCTGACATGGGACTCGATCCGGGGACTCCAGGATCATGCCCTGGGTTGAAGTTGGCGTTAAACCGCTGAGCCACTGGGCTGCCCCTGGCTCAGTGGTTTAGAGCCTGCCTTCGGCCCAGGGCATGATCCTGGAGTCCCCGGATCAAGTCCCACGTTGGGCTCCCTGCATGGAGCCTGCTTCTCCCTCTGCCTGTGTCTCTGCCTCTCTCTCTCTCTCTCTCTCTCTCTCTGTGTCTTTCATGAATATATAAATTAATTAAAAATCTTAAAAAAAGATAAAAAAGAACAAAGATTATGTCATTTTCTTTTGTGTCCCTCCCATGTAGTGGAATCCAGCATGTCATTGGTGTGCAAAAAGTGCTTATTGACTGATAATTGGCTTGCAGCTTTCCCCATCAGGCATCAACAAAACTGGTTATTTAGAGATGTGTCTTTCCTAGTTGTAGGAGTTACCACGTTAGAAATAAAACATAAGGGCACCTAGCTGGTCATTTGGTAGAACGTGCAACTCTTGATCTTCGGGTCATGAGTTCAAGCCCCATGTTTGGTGTAAGTTTTACTTTAAAAAGTTAAAAAAAAAAAGCAAATATGACTATTTTAAGTGTGGATCTGATATAAAAAAATACAGTGTGATTATATTGGTGATGTTTTAATTTTTTTTTCATATGTTTTAAATGTTAAGAAAACAGGGATCCCTGGGTGGCTCAGCAGTTTGGTGCCTGCCTTTGGCCCAGGGCATGATCCTGGGGTCCTGGGATCGAGTCCCGCATCGGGCTCCCTGCATGGAGCCTGCTTTTCCCTCTGTCTGTGTCTCTGCCTCTCTCTCATGAATAAATAAATAAAATCTTTAAAAAAAAAATGTTAAGAAAACAGTAAGACTAATCCTCAAAAAATTAAACATAGAATTACCATATGATCCAGCAATATATTCCTTTGGTATATACAAAGGATTTGGAAGCAGGATCTCAAAGAGATTTGTACACACAAATTCATAGCAGTATTACTCAGAATACCTAATACATAGGAACAACCCAAGTGTCCCTCAACAGATGACTAGATGAATGAAATGTAGTATATACATACAATTCAGTGTTATTCAGCCTTTTATTTTTTATTTATTTATTTTTTTTATTTATGATAGTCACAGAGAGAGAGAGAGAGGCAGAGACACAGGGAGAAGCAGGCTCCATGCACCGGGAGCCTGACGTGGGATTCGATCCCGGGTCTCCAGGATCACGCCCTGGGCCAAAGGCAGGCACCAAACCGCTGCGCCACCCAGGGATCCCATTATTCAGCCTTCTAAAAAAAGAATGAGAGGCACCTGGGTGGCTCAGTCAGTTAAAGCATCTGCCTTCAGCTCAGGTCATGATCCCAGGGTCTTGGGATGCAGCACCAAGTTGGGCTCCCTGCTCGGCAAGGGGTCTGCTTCTCCCTCTGCTTTCCCCTCCCTGGCTCGTACACTCTCATGTGCTCTCTCTCTCTCTCTCTCTCAAATAAATAAATAAATAAATAAATAAATAAATAAATAAATAAATAAATAAAATCTTTAAAATAAAATTTTAAAAAATGAAATTCTAACACATGCTATAATGAACCTTGAACACATGAAGGTGAAATAAGCCTGTCACAAAAGGACCAAAATTGCATGTTTCCTCTCACAGAAGGTACTCCGAGTATTCTGATTCATAGTGAGAGAAAGTAGAATTGTGATTTCCAGGAGCTGGCCGGAAGGGAGAGAGGGCAGTTACTGTTCAGTGGGTCTGCAGATTCAGTTTTAGAAGATGAAAAATTTGGAAGATGAATTATGCCAATGGTTACACAATAATGTGAATGTACTTAATACCACTGAACCACACATTTACGATGATTAAATGGTAAATCTTTTGTATATTTAACTACAATAAAAAAAAAAAAGAATGGAGTATAATCTTTACTCAAGAGCTGCTCTTATTCTGCAGGATATCAGTGGTCAAGCCACCAAGAGTGACCTGAAGCAGTAATACATTAATATCCTGGGCCATGTGGGTGGCTCAGTGGGTTAAGTGTCTAACTCTTGATCTCAGCTCAGGTCTTGATCTCAGGGTCAAGAGTTCAAGCCCCACATTGGGCTCCATGCTGGGTTTGGAGTCTACTTAAAAAACAAAAAACAATTAATATCCTGTTCTTCCCCTATTCTAGGAGGGCTTTCAGGAATACCATGCAGCAAGAGTTGGTTGGAAAAAGTAGGTTCCCATTGTCGTTCAGGGTGTGACAGTTTGAAAAGACAGCAAGGACTGTACCTTTCTTTTATGAGCCCTTCCCAAGCTGGACTATCTGAGCAGGAGAGGAGAATTTTTTTTTTTAAAGATTTCTATTTATTTATTCATGAGAGACCCAGAGAGAGAGAGAGAGGGAGAGAGGCAGAGACATAGGCAGAGGGAGAAGCAGGATCCATGCAAGGAGCCTGATGCGGGACTCTATCCAGGACTCTATCCAGACCCCAAGATCATGCCCTGAGCCGAGGGCAGACTTAACTGCTGAGTTGCCCAGGTGTCCCAGGAGAGGGGAATTGTGAATATGTCAAGCCGACAGCTGGGATTACACTCCACCCCAGCCTGGGTGGCCTTGCCATAATTTGTCCTCTGAACTGTTTCTCAGAAGTAGAATTGCTAAAGAGAGGGGACAGAAAAGGGGTTTGATCCAAGCAAAGAAAAGAATAGGGTTAAGAAAGTAGGAGTAAGCTGAGGAATCAGATGAAAGGAAGCATCCTTGAGATCATGCCTTCAGCCATGAAGGCTGTAGCCGCCTGCTTTTTGTTGTTGTTTGGACTTCAACAACTTGAACAGATTGGAACAGCTTGGAGAACCCAGTCTCACTTCCCCTGACACCTCTCCTTCCTAAGTAAACCAATGTTTGATTTTTGGTCAACTTCAGTTTCTTCTAAGGAACCAAATCTGTACAAAAGGCTTGGGACAATGAATGCACTATGGACTTTGTGTTTTGTTTTGTTTTTAAAGATTTTATGTATTTGAGAGAGAGAGAGAGAGGGAGGAGTAGGGGTACTGCACTCAGGAGAGGGGTAGACGGAGAGAGAATCTCAAGCAAGCTCCCCACTGAGCACAGAACCCAATGTGGGGCTCAGTCTCATGATCCTGAGATCATGACCTGAGCTGAAATCAAGAGTTGGACACTTAACCAGCCGAGCCACCTAGTCATCCCTGCACTGTGGGCTTTGTGAAATTCTTTAAAAACATTCCTCTAACATACTTAACTTCTTTTCTTGTGATGAGCTAATATTTGATAAGAAATCAGAAAGTTCTTCGAATTTTATTTTGTTCCTCTAATGTAGTTTCGCTTTAATGTGTTTTAGTTGGAAAAACTAATTTGACCAAAATAAGTAGAAGTGTTAAGTTAAACATAAAGTTAACGAACTTGGAACCTGATCTCATAAGAATTTTATATGAGGGACACCTAGGTGCTCAGTTAAGCATCTAACTCTTGGTTTCTGCTTAGGTATTGATCTCGTGGTCGTGAGATCGAGCCCTATGTCAGGCTCCATGCTTAGCATGGAGTCTGCCTGAGATTCTTTCCCTCTCTTTGCCACCGCCCCCCCAAAAAATAATCTTTTAAAAAACAACAAAAAATAATTTTATATGAGGATAACATGTGATTGAGATTGCAAAATTAAAAGTGCTTATAGGAACATTCAGAAAGATTTTTCTATTTCATTTCCAGGCATAGATATGGTGGAACCTTAAATTTAAAATTGTGTGATTCTGTGAATTTAGAATTTTCTAAAACATTAAATTGTGGTATATTAGTTGGATATGGTAGTTATCAAATATTACTTGTAAACTTGTACAACATACTCTTGTGTATTTCATGAAGCCTGTTAAGATCAGATTCTCCTTCAAATATAACAAACAATATGCTGTACAGCTGTGTCTGTAGCCTTGCATCTGACAGAGCTATTGACAGATTGTCAGTGTGCTTTCTTGTTTTCTCATTGCCTGTATACTTTCTCTCATTTAGCATACGTGGGTTTTTGTCTTTCAGCAATATCCAGACTATTATGCAATAATTAAGGAGCCTATAGATCTCAAGACCATTGCCCAGAGGATACAGGTAGGAAGATGACCATATCATATGTAAATGTAACCATATGCGGTGTAGGGCAGATCGGCCTAAGGTCTTTTTTTTTTTTTTTTTTAAGAAAACAGGAAAGCAGATGTCTTTGTAAGGGGTTATTAGCAATATAATAAACAGATTAGACTGGTGTAACTGATTATAGCTTTGGAGGAGGTAACACAGTGTCTCTTTTGCATTTTATCTGTAGGGAGGAAAGCAGAATTTTCATTGGCATAGTAAACCTTGCTCTTAGGACAAAAATTAAAAAGCAGTGGGCATAGATGTTCTGGTTATGAAAGGCACATTGGTAATAAAGCTTTGTTGTTTATTCTTACCTGCTTCTGAATAGTTTTAGAATGTCTCAAAATAAGTTACCTACAGTATGTTAGAGCGTAAGGTCAGTGGAAACAGAGACTGTTCTCTTCTCTTCAAGTGCCTTCCTCGCTGTGTCTGCAGGAGTAGCAGCAGCTAACATTCACCTGACATTGCTAGGTACCAGTAATTACTGGTACAATAATATACTTTAACAGAATGTTAAAATACAGATTCCCTAATATATCACCTGGTCTTAAGGCACCTCCCTTAGGCACAACTGGTAATAATGACTTAGTCTCCTGGAACCTAAATCCCTGGGGTTCCTAATATGTACCTGGGGGGAAGATGTTTTGGTTTGGTTTGGTTTGGTTTTTTGTTTTTGTTTTCATTTTTGTTTCATGTTTTATTTATTCATGAGAGAGAGAGAGAAAGAGGAACAGACACAGGCAGAGGGAGAAGCAGGCCCCATGCAGGGAGCCCAACGTGGGACTCAATCCCAGGTCTCCAGGATCACGCCCTGGGTTGACGGCGGCGCTAAACTACTGAGCCACCCGGGCTGCCCAGATGTTTTTATATTACTGAAATTCAAATTAGATCTTTAGACACTCCTACCCCAGCCCCAGTCTTCTAAAACCTTGCTCCTTATCTTGTCCATTCCTTCCAAAAGTCCCATAAAAACCCCTCCTTTTGCCATCACCCTAATCAAGATCTTGTCCTTTTATGTCCAAATTATCGTAATAGTCTTTTCTACTTCTCTGATGAAAGACTCATGTCCTTCTGGCATGTTGCTCCCTGACCCTAGCTTTCTCCCTATTTTATTCTTTCTATTTCACAGTCCAGAGCCTTGTCACTTATTTTTAGTGCTCCTCTAGCAAATTACAGTTCCTTGTAGAGGAGCAACAGTAACCAACTCTAAATAATTCCAATAGAAGGGGAATCCATGAAAAGGATATCGGATAGCGCCTAGAATTGTTGGGATGGCAGGCACAAGAACTAGCCTTGGGGAAGTAGGCAGAACTTAGGGACGTCATGATACAGTTAAAGTCATTCACAGTCTCTTTGGGATGCCGTTGTTAGTCCCAGTGTCATTTGCCGCTGTGGGAAGTGGATGCCCACTGCTGCCCACTGCTCCCCTCTGCTGTATTGCCCTTCGTGGGAGTTAGGAATACATTTTCTCTACTCCTTTGCCCTCGCTTTAGTCCCTCAAGACTCAAGCATGAATTATCTCCCCTTGCCCTATTTGCCAGGCTGCTGGCAGTGCTATCTGCTTATTTTTACCCTCTGTTGGGAAAGGTAGATTCCTTCTACCACATGTACTAGGTTTTCTCCAAATAGAGAGTGCTCAGGAGCACCTGGCTGGCTCAGTCAGTAGAATGTGCAACTCTTGATCTTGGGGTTATGAGTTGAAGCCCCATATTGGGTGTAGAGATTACTTAAAATCTTTAAGAAAAAAAAAAAGTGCTCAGACGTTGAGTATCCTCACTTGGCAAGTAACTGACTACTCTCCTTTGCCTGGCTTTCTGGATTTTGCCTCATTTGTCTTTATTTATGCAGTCTATGCTTATGGTTTTACCCCCCTCCCCAGCCTTCCACTCCACTTAATTTGGTTTTACCCCCCTCCCCAGCCTTCCACTCCACTTAATTTGGTTTTCTCAGTTTCTCAGTTAATGTGTCTGTTCATTTCTGTGACCTTCTCTTTAATCCTGTGTACCTTTTGCTTAGAGTGTCTTTCTCCTTCCTTCTCTTTGTAAACTGAAGGCAGTTCTAAGTCTCCCTGGGTTGTTTGGGATTGAGTGAGCTTTAAGATGTGATAGCTCTAACATGGAGCCTAGTACATAGTAGGTACTCAAAAATGTTAACCTCTATGGTTGACTGTTTTATCTGAAGTGGTCTATAAAACTAGAATTTTACTTCATTCCCTTAAGTCCACCCTAATGGATTAGTATTCATGAAGCACTTAGAATAGTGCTTGGCACAGAGTAAGCACTATGTGTTTGCTAAATTAAACGACTTTTACCTTATTTGATCTTTTAAAAATTATGTTTTTATGAAACCAGCGTAGCTCTGGTCTTGTTACCTATCTCAAAAACTTGTGTTTAAATGGACAATTGAAATAGTTTATAAAAGGGAAAATGAATTTATATTATATTCCCATGTGTATTTTCCAATAAAATTTTTGAATATGGTGACAATTTAAAAATATGTGGAGCTCTTTTTTTTTTAAAGGTCATGCTAACTCGCTTTCAGTTAAGAGGAACTGCTGTATTTTGTTGTTCTAGAATGGAAGCTACAAGAGTATTCATGCAATGGCCAAAGATATAGATCTTCTAGCAAAAAATGCCAAAACTTACAATGAGCCTGGTTCTCAAGTATTCAAGGTTAGTTTTTCATTGTTGTTGTTTTCATTAGTAAGGGTAGATAATTTAGAGCCAACGATTTTTATATAACAACTTTTTGAGATAAAATTTACATCATACCATACATTTCACTCAAAGTGTACGATGTAATGGTTTTTAGTTGTGTATAGTTGTGCAGCTGTCACCGCAGTTAGCAGTCCCTCCATTTACCCCCCAGTCTCCCTATTCTAGGAGTCCTGGCCCACTTTCTATCTCTGTGAATTTGCCTATTCTGGACATTTCATTATAAATGGAATCATACAGTGTGTGGTCCTTTGTGACTGGCTTCTTGGACTGAGCATGGGGCTTTTAAGGTACTCATGTTGAAGCATGATCACTGCTGAGTAATACTCTGTTGTATTTATTTACCATGTTGTATTTACCCACCTATCAATTGCTAGACATTTGGGTTGTTTCCACTTTATGGCTATTATAAATAATGCTGTTGTGGACATTCACACAGAAGTTTTTATGTGGACTTAGTATTTTCTTGGCTTTATACCTAGGAATGGAATTGCTGATTCACATGGTAACTATATATTTAACTTTTTTGAGGAACCACCAAATTGTTTTCCAAAGGAACTGTGCCGTTTCACATTCGCACTAGCAGTGTGCAAGTATAATTTCTCCACATTCTCACTAACACTTGTTTTTCATTTTTATTTTTATGATAGCTATCCTCATATCTCACTGTGTTTCGAATAGCATTTCCCTGATGATTAATTAGTGATATTGAACATTTTTTGGTATATATTGGCCATTCATGTATCTTCTTTGAAAACATTAAAAAAAAAAGAGAAAACATTTTTATTGAGATCCTTACCCCATTTTTTAATTGGGTTACCTGTTTTTTTATTGTTGAATTGTTAGATTTTTTTATATAATGTGGACATTAAAGTAGATATATGATTTAAAATATTTTCTCCTATTCTTTGGATTGTTTTCACTTTTGTAATAGTGTCGTCCTTTGACACAAAGTTTTTAATTTTGTTAAGTACAGTTTGTTTTCTTTGATTGCTTGTACTTTTACTTTTGTAAAAAGCTTTTACTTTTACTTTTGTGCTTATATAAGAAAGAATTGCTTAATCCAAGGCCACAAAGATTTATACCTGTGTTTTCTTCTAAGAATTTATTAGTTTCAGCCCTTAAATCCAAGTGTAACCATTTTGAATTTATTTTTGTATACATGAGGTAGGTGTGAGGTGTCTCATCTTCCACATGGGATATTCATTTGTCCCAGCACCTTATATTCAAAAGTCTGTTTTCTTCCCCATTGAATTGTGTTGATGCTCTTGTTGAAAATCAGTTGACTATAGGTGTATGGATTTATTTCTGAAATCTCAGTTCTCTTCCATTCATTGATATGTCTACCTTTGTGCCAGATGTAAGGTTTGTTTTTGATCTACTTTTTAGTTTAATATTGATTTAATCTCTGCTTTAAACTTTATAAATGTAAAAAGCAATTTCTGGAGTGTAACACACAATGTAAAATGACTATTTCATTGCTTTGCAGTTCTCTCCTAGAAATTTTGTAGTCCTGTGACACAGTTGCTTATAGACATTTCTTGATTTAATAATATTTAATTGGGAATTTAGCAGAGGATTCTGAGAAAACCTTTTGGGAGTAAAATCATTTAGACTTTCAGAATGCTGACTCAAATATACTTATTTTTGGTCATTAATTTATCTTTCACCTTTTAATAAACTTTCATCATTTAAGAAACTTCAGGTAAAAGCTAGAAATGAGCTCTGAAGTTCTTGTATTCTTAGTCATTGACAGGACACTAATAGTAGAGTACCAGTAGTTTGTTGATGCAGTTAAGATCGTACTTTTTGGTCTGATTGTTTCCCCTAAAATAAATTTTAGAGAGAAGGGAAACTAGATTTGATATATTAGTATGCTATTGATTTAAGCAAGACATTCATCCTAAATTTGTGTGCATAGTCTTTATTCTTAGAAATGCATCTTTGTATCAATTTTTAGGTTGGTGGACACAGATAAAATTCATGGTACTTTCATCCATTTTTCCTTGTTCACTGTTAGATCTTTGTGCATTACTTGACTAATTGTGAAAGAGCTAGGAGGCTTTTAACTTATATATAATTGTAATGATGTTTTCAAAGGTTGTGGGAAGATTAGAAGATGCAGCTTTGTGGATATTAAATGAAAACCTACTCCAAGTGGGAGAGTGCCATAGAAAGTGTCCAGTGCATGACTGAGGGCATTTTAAATTGTCCTTTTTTCCTAAACCGAGTAATTTTATCTTGACAGGATGCAAATTCTATTAAAAAAATATTTTATATGAAAAAGGCAGAAATTGAACATCATGAAATGACCAAGTCAAGCCTTCGAATGAGGTATGTTTTTAAAATATCTAAAATCTTTGTGCCTTTATTATTTGCCAAATTTTCTAGCTAGTAGAATTATTGCAGTGGAAAACAAGATGTAGGTTGCATTTGAAAATTATTTTTACACCTGATAATGTGATTCTGAAGAGAATAGATATAACTCTTACCCAGCCCCTTCATTGCAGCTGAAAGGCTTTATTTAAAAACAATTTTTGAGGGCAGCCTGGGTGGTTCAGTGGTTTAGCGCTGCCTTCAGCCCAGGGCCTGATCCTGGAGACCTGGGATCAAGTCCCACATCAGGCTCCCTGCATGGAGCCTGCTTCTCCCTCTCCCTTTCCCTCTCCCTCTCCCTGTCTCTGTCTGTCTGTCTGTCTCTCTCTCTCTCTCTCTCTCTCTCTCTGTCTCTCATGAATAAATAAATAAAATCTTTAAAAATAAAATAAAATAAAAATAAAAACAATTTTTTAGACTAAACACCATTATCTACTTTTATTGCTATATATGGATATATTTATATGTAATATATATGCATATGAATATATGTTATCTATGATAAGCATATATGTAATGTGGTATTTGTGTGTAATGTATAATAGTATATATTTTATATCAGCAGCAAGAGCATTAAGCCGGATGTCAGTAGATCTAAAGTCTCATCCTGGCTCTTCCTTGTCCGAGGACTAGGACTTTGAACAAGTGTTACTTCTGAGATTCCATTTCTTCCTTCTGGAAATGAAAACTGGAGTAGCTGCTTTGGAAGCTTTCTTCTGACCCTGACATTTGCTTCATTACCAGATCCTTGGTCACTGTAGGAACTGTAAGCTCTCTAGGACCAGCCCTTATCCATTCTCCTCTTCAGAGTCCTCAAGATTTGGAGCATAGGCTGCTGTACAATAGAGGCTCAGAAATATTTTAGCATTTCTACTTAAAAACAACAACAAAAATAGTTGCTTCTTTTTTGTTTACCCAGCATTCTGATTTCAGCTGTCAATGTTCTTTTTTTTTTTTTAAATATTATCTCTGGATAGGACGCCATCAAATTTGGCTGCAGCCAGGTTGACAGGTCCTTCGCACAGTAAAGGCAGCCTTGGTGAAGAGAGAAATCCCACTAGCAAGTATTACCGGTGAGAGAATGAACGTGTTCAGTCTGAGAACTGACCATGTTTATGAGGCTAGGCTTACTAGTGTTTGCCTGATGGCTATCATGAAGTAATTCTTTGGGGTATAATTGGGTTATTATGAGAATTATCAAATATCTTATTTAAAAGGTTGAGGTGCTATAGTCAGCCTGACCTCAATTCTGGAAAATGCTTAAGCAGAAGTTATTGTCAGGTAGTGTTTAATATTTCCAGTAAAAATAAATTGTGATAAAATGATAAATGATTTTGTATTCAAAATAGAATTTGTACTCATAAGGACATCTTAGAAGAGAGTTAACCAGTAATGATGAATGTATCTTTATTTTTTTTATAAAATAACTAGTAGTGCTGCATTTAAGTAACATAGAATTGCAAGTAGCCTACTTTAGACTTTCTACACCACTCTTTTCTGGAAGAAAAAAAAATGATCTTCTTGGCTAAGGGATTAGTTTTGGGAACTATAAAAAGTACAAAGATAAACTGAGCAAACAGCTGAATAAAAATTCCTTTTCTTTGATGTGAATGCTTTGTTAACAGTTCCTATTTTCTGTAAAGTAACCAAACAATTATAACATCTTTCCCTGTCTTCTGATTGCTTGTTTTTCTTTGTAGTAATAAAAGAACAGTCCAAGGGGGTCGTTTGTCAGCAATTACCATGGCACTTCAATATGGCTCAGAAAGTGAAGAGGATGCTGCTTTAGCTGGTAGGCATTAGGTCCTGACTAGTTAATGCCTTCTCAGATCCTTCTGGTAAAGGAAAATTACAGTCACTTTGATCTGGCTGAGAGTTTGTCAGTTTTTGGAATACATGCTGTTTTGTTTCATTTTTGACTGCACTCTTTGGTTGGCGAACTTATCAAACATTTATTTTGTGTTATAGCTTGTAACTAAGTAAATAAATACTTCTATAAAAACAGTTGGTTTGCTAGCTTTAGCAGATCCTGGTTTCAAGTGTATAATAATATATAGTGAGTGAGTACTCGTGATGCCATTGGGAAACCCAAGGGAAACATTCACACCATCTTAGATTTCTAGGCCACTGGCTTATATTTTCAGTAGGCTGTAACATCTTGGCTAGAGCTTCTGATTTTAAGATAGGTGTAAATTACAGTTAGAGCAGCAGCATAGTCAGTTGTCATTTAAACAAGTCCAAGAAAAGGCATTAGGCAGTAAAATCCATGTAAAAGTATGTTCTGTTAAATAGCCAATAACAACTGTAGAGATAAGTTTGATTTCATTGTCCTTCTCTCCAGTGTGTTATAATGTTCTTTATTTTACTACAGATACTTTTTTAATATGTACAGATAAAATTTGTTTCGTGAAATTATTCTGGCATATCTTCTGATTTTATAATCAACTATGAGGACAGATTTTTATTTTTCCCCTGTGTCTTATTTTCTACTAAATCTTCTATAGAAGTTTCATAATTACTGTAGACTACTTACTAGAGTGTGAATTTAATTTTTTGACACTCATCTACAGAATTTTTTTAATTTAGATCTGGTGTTATCAAAAAGTGAAGGAAAATTTGTTTTTATTAGCTTTGTTGTTCACTGGTTATAAAAGTGACACACGTTATATTTAGGTTTCCTTCTAACATTTGGTTACTTCATTAATCTTTGTAGCATAACAAATTGAAGGAAAGCCAACCATTTACAAAATTCCTAAAAAATATTTATTGTTTTTTTTTTTAATAGTACCTTTGTCACAAGAGAGTTCTTATTTTGTAACCTCATTAAAACAAAGTAGAGGTCAATTAGCTTTTTTTTTTTTTTTAACTATTTATTTGAGAGAGGCAGAGACATAGAGGGGGAGAAGAGGCTCCCTGCAGGAAGCCTGATGTGGGACTGTATCCCGGATCATGCCCTGAGCTCAAGGCAGACACCCAACCACTGAGTCATCCAGGCGTAATATCAGTTAGCTTTGAACGTAGTAGATCGTTCAGGCTGCTCTTCACAATCTGCTTATCCTTGATTTAGTCAAGATTCTAATCTGTTTGGTTTTCTACTTCCTGCTGCTGGAAACAACTTAGGGTAGGTACAGTGAAAATAGCAAAGAAAGGATAACTGATGATCTTGGAGCAACAAGAAAGAGCCCATGGAAAGAAGGCATAAGAATTTGCAAAGTGAGGGCTCGCTTCTTGAGGTGGTTTGTTTTTAGAGACAAACCACAACAGTATGCAGCCTGGGCAGGGCGGCAGGGTGGGTAAAGAAGAGCGCCCACTTACAGTCACTCTAAGAACAGAAATGGGGTGGGGGATAGAATCAGAAAAACAGATAAACCTTTCAGTTTTCCCCCACAAAAATAAAATAAGACAAGTCAGAAAGAAACAAAGTGGGATAAATTGAAAACATAAGATGAGAAAAACTCCAAAGGTTATATCAGAAATCACATCAGTGTTAATGACCCAAATTTGCCAATTATGACAGTTTCAGATTAGATTTTTTTTAGAAATCAGGTTGTATGTGGTTACATGAGACACATCTGAAATGTAAAAAATACAGGAAAGTTTAATGGAAAAGGATGGAAAAAGATATATGAGATAATAACCCAAAGGATAGTTATATTGACTTCTCATAAAATAGACTTTCAAACAAAAGCATTACCAAGGATAAAAAAGATTCACCTCATAATGCTAAAAGATTTATTTCATCAGGAAGGTAAATTAATAAAAAGCTCAAAATATGTAAAACAGGCAGATAGAACGTGACAGAGAATGTGAAAATATTGCCCTAGAGTGGGGGTTCACTGCTCTCAGTTGCTGGATAAGCAGCCAGAAAACCAGTGAAGACAGAGATGATTTGAGTACACAAAGTGTATTTCTCACAAGTGTATTTGTTTCCTGTTGCTGCTAAAACAAATTACCACAAGCTTAGTGGCTTAACACAAATTTATTCTCTGATTCTGGAAGTCAGAAATCTAAAATCAAGTTGGCAGGCCAGTGTTCCTCTGAAGGCTCTAGGGAGTAAAATATTTCCTCTCCTTTTCTAGTTTCTAGAAGCTATCTGTATACCTTGGCTCATGGCTACTTCCTCTGTATTCAAAGTGTAGCACTCCCAGTCTCTGTATCTCTCATTCCCAACTCCTTTCTCCTCTGACCTTGCCTGCCTCTTACAAGGACCCTTGCAATTACATTTAGTGCCCAGAGTAATCCAGGATAGTCTTCCGAGTTCAAAATCCTTAACTTAATCATATCTGCAGAGTCTCTTTTGCCATATAAGGTAATATTCACAGGTTTTGTGAATTAGGACGTGGATATATTGGGGGTGCTGTTATTCAGCTAACACAATAAGATTAGCGATTAGAAAATTCATGTTCTTCTCTGATCCTCATGTACTTAGTCATGAAACAAATTTTAGCCACTTTGAAAGTTTGATATTTTAAAGGCCATATTTCTGACCATAATGCAGCTGAGATAAGCACCTAATGTTGAAAAGATAAAAGTTAAAAACTTACTCAGGAAAAGTCTCCAAATCTTTGGGCTTTTCTTTTTAAAAAAGAAAAATTATAATAGAAACTTAATTACCTATGATTGAATAATAGCAATAATGAAAATAATATATATCAAAACAGTGGTGATGCAGCTAAAGCAGTGCTTTATAGGGAAAGTTACAGGTCTGAATGTGTCTAGAAAAGCATCTGGAAGTCAGTGAACTAATTAGCATCCAACATAAATAAATAAAATAGTGAGAGAATAAAAGGAGAGACATTAGAAGAAAAGGTAAGAAAGCTAAGAGCAGAAATGAATTTTTTAGAAAAGCTATAGTAGAAAAGATCAGTAAAGTCAGATTTTTTCTGTTAAAAAACTTAATAGGCAAATCTGTTACCAAGAAAGAAACAGAAGGCACAAATAAAACATATTAGGGGGAAGGGAGCATACAGATTAAGGATAATGTATGAAGCTTACACAAATTTGAACATTTGGATTAAATGGACAAATTCCTAGAAAGTAATAAATGCCTACAACTGATTCAAGAATAAAAAGGATGGGCAGCCCTGTTGGCTCAGTGGTAAACCTTCAGCCCGGGTTGTGATCCTGGAGACCCAAGATTGAGTCCCACATCAGGCTCCCTGCATGGAACCTGCTTCTCCCTGTGTCTGTGCGCTCTCTCTCTCTCTCTCTCTCTCTCTCTGTTTCTCATAAATAAAATCTTAAAAAAAAAAAAGGATGATTAGTCATATCACTATTGAAGAAATTCTTAGTTACAAATCTTTCCCTGTAGCTAACACCAGGCCAAAAATTCAAGGAACAGAATTATATACAAACTCCTGCAGAGAATAGAAAAAGACTTCCCTAGTTCATTCTATAAAAATGATAGAACCTAGATACCCAAAACTCAACAAAAATAAGCACATTATATCTAACAGTATATATAAAAGATAATGCATGATAACACAGTTGGCTTACTCCAGGAATACTAGGTCACTTCAGCATTAGAAGACGTAAAAGTATCATTCACTACATTAAAGGAGTAAAACCATGTTATTGGCTCAACAGATGCATTTAATAAGTGCTTCAATTCCCATTCATGATAAAAAATTTGACAAATTAGGAATAGAAGGGGATCTTTCTTAACTTGATAAAGAGCACTTGTTTTTAGTGGAGAAATACTTGCAGCATTCCTTTTACCATAAGTAAAAATGTTGTTACCTCTTTTGGTCAAAGTACTACTCAGCTGACAGGGAGTAAGAATCAGAAAAGATTTATAAGGATTGCAGTTGAAAGATTGTTTTTTGAGTTTTTTACTCAGAAGACTCTCAGGTAAATTATCAGAATTAATAAGAATAAGATGCTAGATATAAGATCATTATACAAAAATCTATTTCATGTCTGGGATCAACCACAAAAAGAAAATGCAGTTTTTTAAAAGACATAGCGTACAGTAGCAACAAAATATTATCGGCATAAATTCAACTAAATATATGCAAGCTCTTTATGGAGAAGATCACCTGTAATAGGGTCAGAGAAAACCTGTTCCAGATCTCTCTTTGCTTCTAGACAATCAAAATTGTCTCTCAGCTCTCCTGAGACTGATGCCTGTCCATCTCTTGAAGAATTTATGGAAATGAAGAATATATTTTATTTTTCTATAAAACTGATTACATTTTGTTGGTTTGGTGTTTTTATGATTAGCTTCTACCTAAAAATTCCCTCTATAAGGGAAGACCTCCTTCTTAAGGGATGCTATAGATTAGTGGGGCAAAATCAGAGACTTAAAGCGAAACCAGATCTACCAATATCAACAAACATTTATACTACCTTAAACTACATGCAGCAGCTTTAGTTCTGAGATCTGTATTGCTCTTGCTCCTGTCCAAACACAGAAGGCCTATTTAAAAAGAGAAACTATTTTGTAAATATTTAAAAACAGTATAACATTTTCTATTGACACTGTATTCTGTTTCTATGTAACATTTCTCTAAGTAAATATATAATTATATTAAGCATTACTAACAGCATCTTTTATTGAGGGCTGGAAACTATTCTTTTTAAATAAGTATTCTCAGGGCACCTGGGTGGCTCAGTGAGTTAAGTGTCTGCCTTCAGCTCAGCTCATGATCCTGGAGTCCTAGGATTGAGCCCCATGATAGGCTCTGTGCTCCGGGATCCTGCTTCTCCCTCTCTGTCTCCCCATTCATTCTCTTTCACACACTCTCAAATAAATAAAGTCTTTAAAAAAAAAATAACATAAACTCAAACATTGATAGCTTACTCTGGAAGGTCGTTAAAAGAACTTTAAAGTATGGTTCTTCCCCTTATAAATACTTTTTTTTTTTTTTTTAGCTGCACGTTATGAAGAAGGAGAGTCGGAAGCAGAAAGTATTACTTCATTTATGGATGTTTCAAACCCTTTTTATCAGCTTTATGACACAGTTAGGAGTTGTCGGAATAATCAAGGGCAGCTAATAGCTGAACCTTTTTTCCATTTACCTTCAAAGAAAAAATACCCTGATTATTATCAGCAAATTAAAATGCCCATATCCCTACAACAGATCAGGTAAGGTGCCTTCTATGTTACTCAATAAAAATCCATTTTCTTGTGGTTGAGCCTGCACATATATCTCCTTGCTAAAATGAATACAGATATTAAAGGTAAAATATTTTCACATGTCTAGAGTATGTCTTGAATATCACTTCTAAATGAAAACTGAGAAATAAATTTGATTTAATACAAAAGATATTCTTTGTACTATAATAGAGTCAAGGCAAATAAAAGGTATTCCAGCTAAGCATTTTGTCAGATTATAGACTATAAAAAGTCATGCAGCTCAAAATTTAACTGTTCATTTTCTTATAACTAGGGAAGGAAAGCACAAAAATCTTTCTACTTATACTTTTTATTGATATTTTAATTACAACAATTTAATTATATTTAAATTTTGTGTCTGTAGTTCAGCCTCCAGAATAAGTATAGGCAGCTGTTAGAGAATTCATTTTCATTAGCTGAAATAATACCTATAAGATGGTTCATCCTGGTTTCCCTTTTCTTCTTAGAAAATGTTAAAACAATCATTGGGGGTAGCCTGGCTGGCTGAGTCAGTAGAGCATGCCACATTTGATCCCAAAGTCATGAGTTCAAGCCCCACATTGGGCACGTAGTGTATTTTGAATGAATGAATGAATGAATGAATGAATGAAAGAAATAACAGATTAACAATCAGAATTCAGACAGAATATTGAAACCACCACATCGTCGTTAAAAAGCAATAAGAAGTAATATTTTAACTCTCAAAGTGCTGGTTAGATTCTACAGTATACCCAAATAGAGGCAACCAGGTAAAAAATATATCTTAACTTGGCAAAATCAGAGTAAGCTTGTGTTTACCAGGACAAATATCTAACCTCCCGAATAGTAGGAATAAAATTCTTACACTTGCTGGATTCTAGAAAATAAGGTTGGCTAAAATCTTATGATTTGTTGATAGAAGGATGATAGTTGAGTGTCATCAAAAGCAGTAAAAATAGGGGTGCCTGGATGGTGCAGTCGGTAACAATCTGACTCTTAGTTTTGGCTCAGGTTGTGATCTCTGGGTCCTGGGATAGAGTCCTGCCTTGGGCTCCATGCTCAGAGTCTGCTTAAGATTCTCTCTCCCTTTGCCCACCCCCCTCCCATACATACACACATGCTCATCTCTTTTTCTAAGATAAATAAATCATTTTTTAAAAGGCAACAAAAATGAAAGAGTGGGCAGGAGCTAGACAGTGTGGCTCCATATGCCACCTTCCACCATGCTGGGGCTTCTCATCCCCATCTTTTATTTCCCATTGTGCCTGTCCTGCCCCCCACTATCCTTAATGAACATCAGTTGTTAAATATCTGCAGTTTTATTTATAGATTGTCATTTACAAGTTTGAGTTCCACATATGTTCTTTTTGGGTATTGAGAATATTCAGCACATTACCCTTAGAGTTGGCAGGAATAATTCTGAGGCAGTAACTTAAATTCTGGGTGCTAGCTATGTAGGCTGGTACCAAGAGCTGAGTTTATGGTTTGCTTCACCCCAGAGGTGTTCTCTAACATTTGTATCTTTTGAGCACTACATGGAATCTGCATATAATGTGCAAATGCTTCAGTCAAAAGATTTAAAAGTCTATCCTATGTGCATACAGAGTTAGAGCAAACTGTGATTCTTCATTTTGTGTAAAATGTATAAGGGACATGGGGTGCCTAGGTGGCTCAGTTGGTGAGGCATCCAACTCTTGATTTTGCTCAGGGCATGATCTCAATGTTGTGGGATCGAGCCATGAGTCAATTAGCAGGGAGTCTGCTTGAGAGTCTCTCTCTCTCCCTCTGCCCGTTTCACCCTGTGTGCACTTGCATGCGTTCTCTCTTTCTCTCAAATCAAAAAAGAAATCTTAAAAAAAATAATGTAGGGACACCTGGGAGGCATAGTCAGTTAAGCATCCAACTCTTGTTTTGGCTGACGTAGTGATGGTCTTAGGATTGAGCCACATGTCAAGTTCTGTACTCAGTGCAGAGTCTGCTTGAGATTCTCTGTCTCTGCCCCTCCTGCTCATGCTCTGTCTAATAATAATAATAACAATAACAATAATATCTTTAAAGTGTATAAAGTTTATGAGAGGTGGTATTTGCAATAACCATAGTGTCTGAAAGACATCATAATTCTTAAGACTTTTAAGTAAAATAACTTCAATTTTAAGCCATCATAATTAGTTACAAATGTCTGTTTTGGAAGAAAAGTAGTGAACGGACTCTGACATATCTGCCTCTTGTTTAGCATCTTAAGATCTCTTATATATCCCCTTTCATGATTTTGTGAGTACATTCCCTTTTCTTTAACATGAACTGGAATGGCCACTTATTTTCACAAGTGACTGGATCACCATGGTTCTTCATTGTGGTAGTTTAAAACCTCCCTGATTTTTGTCTTTTCCTAGGGTTTGCATGTTAGCCACTAATAGGGGTTTTCCGTTAGGACTTTTACTAGTATATTTGCTTTGTACTTGACCACCTTGGCACATAGGTCCTCTTATTACTTCTTATGGTGTTTTGTTCTTCTTGATTTTCAGGTAGACTGTCATACTGCCAAAATACAATGGTGCTTTTGCCTCCTTTCTATCTTGGAGGTGCCCCTTCTAGGCCTCTCACCAGTATCGTTAAGTAAAGAGGCCAGCTAGTGCTTGTTAACATTTTTGTACTGGGCTTTTCAGTAAGAGTGTTTCATCTTTTTCATAATGGTAAATTGTAGCCATGTGTTTGTCTTTCACAGAACAAAGCTAAAGAACCAAGAATATGAAACTTTAGATCATTTGGAGTGTGATCTGAATTTAATGTTTGAGAATGCCAAACGCTATAATGTTCCCAATTCAGCCATCTACAAGCGAGTTCTAAAATTGCAGCAAGTCATGCAGGTATGATTCCTTGGATTTGCTTATCTGTGGTGTGTATAATTGAAATAATTTTACACTCTCATGAATAAATAAAATCTTTAAAAAAAAATTTACAAACTTTGGGTATATGCTTTTAAGATGTATGATTTCTCCCAGTAATATCACATCATTTATTTCAGCCATAAGTACTGCTGAGGTTTTTTTTTTTTTTAGAGTTGTCGGGGCCATGTAAAGTAGAAATAGTTCAGACTGGGTTAGCTTTGTGAGTGGAAGGAGCAGGGATTTGTGCCTGGGAAGTAATTTTAGGGTCCTCAGGAAGTTTCCCTCCAATCACAGACAATAACTGTTGTCATTTAGATTTCATTTCTTTGGTTCTAGACTTTGTCTCTGTTAAGATAGGATTGGTCCTAGGAGAAAGGACATCCTAAAACTGACTAATCATTGTACAGTGTTCATGAATTGATCAGATCCTTTCTGAGCGCACATCTTAGTGGGCACACGAAGCATTGGGCCATCTAGGGGTTTTGAAGAAAGGCATAGATATGAAATACAAATTATATCTATTTGTCAGTTTTGGTTGGAATCTTTCTGGAAAGAGAATCTCAGAGCAAGGAAGCAACAAAAGTGATTTTAGATCCTATAGTCTTCATTTTGTGGAGTCCATCCTGGCATCAGTGCTGTGCATTTCCCGTAATTTCTTTCAGCACTATGCGTGTATTCCCTAAGTCTGCAATGGTTGCACTTTGAGCTGTTTGGCAGGAGGTTTTTAAAAATGCATGTGTTGAAAGTAGATCTTCTTTCACTTCTCACATTAAACTTTCTTCTAAGCTACACCATTGTTTAAGAATCCAGGGTACTTCTTAAGAGAAGGGTACTACTTCCAGAGACTACCTTTGAGTTGGTTTCACCTAAAAATGGCAGGATACCCCTACAGCTTGCCTCAACGCTTTTAACAAAGTTGAGGCTTTTGTAGTCTTGCAGTTTAGATAGTGTTGATTCCTAAACCCTCTGAATCCAGTTTTTAATCTCATTTTATGTAGGTCATGCAGGCTTTTGTTAAACCGGGTTATTGAAAATGTTTACTGACTCTTTAATTATGTGCATCAACATGTAGTTGCATTTTTCTAAGAGAATCTGTTATGTCTAGCTATTTAACATTCATAAATTCTAGGAGAGTTCAGCAGGGTGAGCTTGACTCTCAGGGTCTGCTCTGTTTCAGGCAAAGAAGAAGGAGCTTGCCAGAAGGGATGACATTGAGGATGGAGACAGCATGATTTCTTCAGCCACCTCTGATGCTGGTAGTGCCAAAAGAAAAAGGTATATACTCTTCTCATAGCTGGAGACATCTCTGTTTCTATTATTTCGTTTTTGATAAGTACAGAAAAGTGTGTTTTTAAGCTTTCAGGTATGAATTCTTTTATAAGCTCTAATTATTTGCTAACAGATCTTTTAAAATTCATTTGGGAATTGTATGATCAGCACTGCCATTGCTCTCAGTGCTGCAGTGGCTATAGACCTCTTGAATAAAAGTGAGAACTACTTCTGTGGCTCAGCAAAGCACGTTACTCTGTTGGCTGTCTGGGCTATTTTGCTTTAATGTGGCATTGCAGGAGTGCCACTTAAATCTGATTTAGGTAATTTATACATGGTGAATTTCAAAAATTCAGTACTATCACTGCAGTGAAGTAAGTCACTGATACTCCTACGTCCTTGTTTTTCCTTATTAATCTGATCTTTATTTGCCATTTTAAGGATGTCAGATTATAAACTACCAAGTCATAACTTCTTGTAGTTCATAAAAGCTGAACTAGATGTTTGGTTTTTCTGTCTTTCTAATCTTTCTCCAAACTTCCCTCACCCTTCCTTTCTCTCACGGGTTGTATGAAAGGGGCACCTCATTGTGAGACTCTGAAGCTGGACTCCTATAAAGAATATCCTGCAAGAACATCTCTTTTGTCTACGCCTCCTACACAGAGTTTCTCTGGCTCGATCTTTGTGGAACATCATATTCTCCCTCAGCCTTAACTGTCTCACCATCTTTGTAGCAGCACTCACTGCAGGGAGGACATTTTAAACAAAAAATAAGCAAATCACTAATAACGGGGGCAGATTCAGAGTCGAATGAAGAAGTCACTAGTAGCTGTTGACACTGTTTTGTTCATGCATTAATAGATCCACTGAGATCAGAGGATTTTAAAAAGTGGTTTATAAAAGAGAAGCTGTCCTATCTTTTCCTTTTATAAATAGCATTTGGGGACATTTTTTTAGCTTTGAGAGTAACTGCTGTGCTATGCCATGGTAACTAAATTGACTGGTGTACCCTAAGATGTGAGTCTCCTCCATTACTGGCCTATGAATTTCATCCTTCCAAGTTCTTAATTCCTTGTTATACCAGGGACAACGGAGGAAAAATGTGAAACCAGATCAGAGACATCAAATCAAGGACATCTTTGAGTGTAATTATATAACTCTACTACAGCATCACCTGTGTTTTCCAGATCAGTCACCCATCAAAGATAAAAACTTCTAAGGCAAAAGAAGGTAATGCAGGCAAAAGTGATGGTACAGTTAGTGCCAACACTGAATGGAAAGAGAGATTTGAAACTAGTTGAGCATTAAAATAGTTCTGAGGAAGCATTAGCCCAGGCCAGATCCTTAAAAATGACCTCTCTGTCTCTGTGGCTTGTAGTTGGTGGGACAATCAAGTAGATCAAAGGAAAGTTATTACTCTAAAACCTCCCGCAAAAAGAAAACTAAGCATTATGTTGTTGAAATCATAAAATCCCACTTTAGATAAAACATCTCTGTGAACAGGTTTCCTAGGAAGTGTTTTTAATAATAAAGTGAAAAACACAAATAAGAACAAATATAAATCATTGCTAAAGTAATAAAAGAACATACCTGGTTTTGAAATACAGGCATGAGTTGACATTAAGAGGTTGAGAGAAGCAAGTGCTATACTTTGAACTTTGTGGCAAAGGAAGAAACATAATGAGCCTTTTAGAAGGTAGCTCGTTACATTAAGAGGTTTTGCTAATGAGAAATAGACTTTTCTGGAATTCAGGCAAACACAGCTGCCTTGTAGGTTAAGTTTAGCTTGTCCAGAGAAGTCAGGGCCAGGTTCCCCAAGTACCCTTGACTCCTAAATACTGTGTATGATTCTATCTTTGCCTTATTTTTTTTAATATCTAAGAGTGTGGGGAAAATTGATGTATGTTCTCTTCATTCTGGGAGTGCATTCTTTTCCCCCATTCCTTTGCCCAAAAATCTACCTGCTGTCTTCCATGTTAAAATGTTCCAAATATTCTTAATCTTTTATCCTTTGGGTCGAATAAGCCTCTTTTTTCTCAACCATATTTGGTTTATACATGACCCTCCAATATTGCCTGTTTTGTTTCTCTTCACATGTAATGTTTGTTTCTGCTTTCCCAGGAACACTCTTGACAGTGAGATGTTGGGTCTCAGGAGGCTCTCCAGGTGTGCAGTCCTTTTTTATGCATAAACATTTTTTAAAGTATAACTTCTGTGGCATGTTCAGTACTGATTAGATTAAAAGTGAAGTCTTAAGCATGAAATAACAGTTTGTATTTTCTTACAAATAAAGAAAGCAGTATAGTTAGAAGTATAGTTGGTAAATTCAGAATTAGTTCACCTCGATACTTTCTAAAGCCTTAATTTGTTGCTAACTTTGCCAGTGGCCACAAGCCCTCTCACCAATCATTGTGATTGTGCTTGTGTGGCAGTAGGTGGAGGCTGAGAATATGGTGGCGTTGCCAGTGTCCAGAGGCTGGCAGACGCTGAACCCTTTTCAGGGATATCTTTTACACATTGAGGGGTGGTAGAAGGATCAAAACCGTAGTTGATGGTCCAGGTGATGTCAGCCTGTGTTGGTGCCTGTGCATTGGGTTAGTGCTTTTCAAGCATGAATACATTTTATCAGTCTCTGATCTTGCCCATGTTTTATTTCTTTGAAAGCATCCATTCTTTTGCATGTCACTTACGATTTTAAAAACAGCTTTTGAATTGCCATGTTATAGCCCTAGCCATCATTGTGTGGTGCTTTTATTTTCACTTTAGCCTTCTGGCATTCATGGAGTGTCAATTGCTTGCAGAACACCAGACTCTACTCTTAGAGGCTATAAAGGAGAATGTTTAGGCATCACCTCTACATGCCAGGAACTTACTGGCCAGGAAGAGAGAGGCAGGTTGAAAACACATAAAAGTATGTGGGAGCAATGTCATAGAATAATTGCACAAGGTACTCAGTTGTGTGGTTCTATAGAACTACATACACGATTGCCCGGATAGCTCGGAAATATGATTTCTCTGTCATGCTTTTCTTTGCAAGTTAGGTGTTCTAAAATTATCTACATGCTGCTCCCGTATGCAGTCCACTCTACAAAATTACTATGTTATTATATACCTCCTGAATTTTCCTTAAGAAAAATTTTCTTAGATCATAAATTTAAGAAAAAAACATGGGTTCTATTTCTTTTACATCCTTCATAGTGTGTATGGCACTAACTCTGGGCAGTAGTAGAAATAGAAATGTGGGACATCGTGGAGTAGTATTACAACCCCAAACTCTAGAACCTAATTGCCCAAGTCCAAATCCTAGTTATTCTGATTAGTTCTGTGATCTGAAAAAGAGTCAATAAGTATACCTACATAAGATTGTTGAGAGTACCTGAGTGGTTGATGTGTTTCAAGCCCTTAGAACTGGGCCTGGGTGCAGTTAGTACTCAATAAATGTTACTGATTATTTTCTGGAAGTAGTTCTCTTTGACATCAGGACTTGGTAGATTTCATTTTGTTTTTAGTCTGATACTACTAGTCTGGGAAAATCATTAGGAAAGGTTTATTATTTATTAAAAGGTTTTACTTAGTAGAAGGTTTTACTCCTTGAAGACTTGAAGATGCAGTGAATGTAGCAAGCCTTGTGAAGGAAAGAAACTTTGGGTTTTAGCCTAACAGCAGACACCACTGAAACTCTAGGACCAGGGAAGGAGTTAAATCCTGGGAGACCTGGGAGCCTGTGAACGGGTAGAGAGGCCCGCGATAAGTGCCCACCTTTGGGAAAGGGAAGGACATCATGAAAGCAGCCTAGTGATTATCAACTGATTCAAGTCTTAGTTCTGATTGCTCACTTTATGACCTTAGATATTTGCTTGACCCCTCTAATCTTCCAGTTTTCCACCTGCAAAACTGGGATAGTCGATGTATCTGGTTCATAGAGTTTGAGGATTAAATGAGGGTGTACATATAGTGCTTACTTAGCATAGCCCCTGGGCACGTGGGAGAAGTGTTAGCTGTAACTATAAATGGGAATTTTATGTGTAAATATGCAAATGTGAATACATATAATAAATAACAGCTTCAAAGGAAGTAGAATGTTAAGGACATTTGACAACATGGTCAGCCACAAAGTATGAATGTGAGGACTAACACCGTGGTGTGAAAAATTGAAAGATCAGATCCAGAAGGGCTATGGAGGTTCCTCTAAAACTTGGTGCTAAACTAAGAGAAACAAAAAGTGACAGTGTCTTCAGTGTTTCATGTTGGGTGGGGAATCAGGAGGTTGACCCTGGGAAATCAAATTCAGAACAGAGCCTCTTCTACCTTCTATTCTTCATGCAAATTAGAAAAAGCACCCATTTCTCAAGACATTTTCATTTGTTAGAAAACTGCTGTAATATAATGATTTTGTTAACACAGAACTCTTCATGGCCTATCTCCTATAAAATTCTAGAACTGCATATTTATTATAACAAGGTCTGTTACCTGAATTGGCGTCCCCTTAAGTGCACAATGATAAACAGCCCTGGTTTTTAACTTCCTTAACATATATTTTACTTCAGTATGTTTAAAGATGCTGACTTAAAAAAAATATATGAGTATGCCAGTTATAAGGTCTGAGATTCATGCACCTTTCCCAGAATGGAGTGGAGTAAACAAATTCTACTTATAGTTAGTGGTCTGAGAGAGGAGGACAGGTAAGATACATAGAGGGCTTCTAAGAAGAATCTGAAAAGCAAAGTGACATTAAAAACAGTAAACAAGGGATGCCTGGGTGGCTCAGCAGCTAAGTGCCTGCTCTCAGCTCAGGGTGTGATCCTGGAGTCTCAGGATCGAGTCCCACATCAGGCACCCTGCATGGAGCCTGCTTCTCCCTCTGCCTGTGTCTCTGCCTCTCTCTCTCTCTCTGTGTCTCTCATGAATAAATAAATAAAATATTTTTAAAAAGAAAACCGTTAACAAAAAATTAAAACAATAAAAAATAAAAACAGTAAAACAGAAAGTACCAATTAGGGGAATATGGTTTCTGTCTTTTTGTAATGTAGAGTTTATCTCACTTCAGAAAGTATTGAAGTTGCTTTCAAAGTCACAGATGTAGGGATGCCTGGGTGGTTCAGCGGTTGAGCGTCTGCCTTTGGCTCAGGTCATGATCCCACAGTCCCAGGATCGAGTCCCACATTGAGCTCCCTGCATGGAGCCTGCTTCTCCCTCTGCCTACGTCTTTGCCTCTCTCTGTGTGTCTCTCATGAATTAAATAAATAAAATCTTTAAAAAACTAAAAAGAAAAAGTCACAAATATAATAAAGTTCAGCATCCATATTGGGAAAAGATAAAGCAAATACACCAGCCACCCAAGCTAATAGAGTTAGAAATTTCATAGTCTTCTAAGTTTTTTCTGGTAGCCAGATATAAACTAGTGAGCCAGTAGTTCTCAGTGTCAAAGGCAGTAGAAGGATTAGGAAAGATGTCGACAAAATAACAAAACAGTATTTTCAGAGAAACTATAAGTAACCCTAATAATAAAAGTTTTATTGCCTTTGAGGATGGAACCCAGTTACACATTACTCTCTGAAAGAGTGAATAATACAGATGAGGAAAGGATACTATTTGTAGTAAGAGTTTTAAAACAGTACATTTCATTTATTTAGAGCCGTCTCAAATTCAGATTTTACATTTTGGATATGTCCCATTCAAAGCTGCTTGGTGTCAGAGTTATCCCACTCACCATTCTTTTGCTTTTTTGGCATTTTCTCTAAAACTTGATAAAGAAGCTTTCCCTCCTCTTGAATAAAAACTTTTGAAAATCTGCCCTAGACCCACTCTCAGAGTATTTGTAGCTTCCTACAGAAAAGTCCAGTGATTATTGGGGGTGATGTACTGGAGTCAGGAAGGGAAGAGAGCTCACCTGGACCAAGAAAGGAGTCTTGAATTGCTCTGCGTGATATTCCTGGGATGAAGAGAGATTTCATTTTGAGTTGGTTATTGAAGAGATTTTCCTGGGGTGAGGAGAGATTTCATTATGAGTTGGTTATTGAAGAGATTTTTTTAAACTCAGGTTCAAAATGGGATTCCTGAGTCTTCATTTTGAATTGTGACCCCCTGCAAGTGAGATCTAAAGAAACTATATCTTTTGTAGCTTTAAGCATAGATTTCTGTGATAACAAATTCAGATTCTGAAATTTTTCTTTGGAGGCTTCCTGAAGGTTAATGTCATCTGTGTTCTAATCTCTGCCCACGTGGGGAGCTCTGTCTCAAGCTCCCCTTCCATTGTCCAATTGCTAAAGTCCTGGACTGAGGGAGGACTCCTCACATCTTTGCCCTCAGATGCCTCTTTGAGGAAATAGTCCCCACTGAATGAAACTTCTCCTGACATATCTAACAATTACTTACTTGACATAAAGACACAAAGATACTGAGAGGAGAAAACAGCAGAAATGATTCTGGAGCCGCTCAGGTAATCCTGAGAGGGGGATTGAGCAGTTTGAATGAAGACGCAGGAAGCAGAAGTCCTTTTTCCCACCTAACCAACCACTTTCAGGCTATCATTGCTCCATGATGCTTGGAAGATAGGCATTTTTGACATATTTTAAAAGCTTGACTTAAAAAAATAAATAAATAAAAAATAAAAGCTTGACTTAAAGATAGATATTTTTTTCTCATCTATTATTATTTATTGGGTTTTTTTTCCTTTCCGTTTCTTTTCTTTTCTTTTCTTTTCTTTTCTTTTCTTTTCTTTTCTTTTCTTTTCTTTTCTTTTCTTTTCTTTTCTTTTCTTTTCTTTTTTTTTTAAGTATATTTTGTACTTTGAAGAGAAAGTATCTGGTCTTTGGCCTCTTCATGCCCCAGCAGGAGAGTGAGTCTCAGGACTAGGAGACCTCTTTAGCCACATTGTTTATTTCAGAAATGTACTTCCTTCCATTTATAAGACAGGAAACAGATACAAAATGTTTACCTCTAAGTAATTATATGATATTGTGTTTATTGGATAAAAATTAAGTTATAAATCATTTCTTTTTATTACCTACCTGAGTGTTCATCTGGGGACTGCTGGCTCAGGTCTGGCTATAATTGATCAATGTCCTGAAAACATAACAAATAATGGGGCAGAAATCATGTTGGAAGATCATCTCTTCTAATAATTCACTGGACATCTCACCTTGGGCAAGTCATTTAGCCATTCTGAGCCAGTCCTCAATAATTAGAAGACAGCCTATCTGTCTTTCTGGGCTCCTTTTGAAATCAGGTTCAAATCTGTGGTTCCTTGACTTTGTTCCACACCATGTATATCTGTTACTTAGCATCACATCTCATGGGGAGAATTTGGAAAACAAGACAGGGACTGACATTTAAGGATGAGAATTTGCTCAGGTGAACCACAGAGCATTTACTCCTTAAGCTAAGTTGGGATACTGGAATGATGCTGACGGAGCTGGAGGGAGCTGGGACTGACCCAGACAAGATTAATGCAGGAGAGACTTGTGCCCACTGTGGAGACTCAATCTTGCAGATAGCGTCCCTTTGTTTTCTGGAAACCAGGATATGCAGGTATTCAAAGTGGTTGTCTTAAGAGATGGTACATTCTCACTATGTGGGTTCTGTTTTGGTTTTTTTGAAGTGAGGAATGTTAGTAACAGCAGGGAATTGGTAGTTTTATTCCACTTTTGCTGTGTTCTTAAAAAATATATTTCAGCTGATAATAGCATTTCATTTTCTTTGGGTGTTAGAGATTTTTTTTTTTAATCATTGCATTTCATAAATATTCTAAACAGGTTTGTCTGGTGTTCATTGGCTGCTCCTGCCAGAGTCACTATGTTTTAATTATTTGGAAATTCTCCTAATATTTGCTTATAGCTGCCAGCATGTTTACTGTGTTTGTGGCATATGTAATCAATAAATTGTAATCATTATGAACCACCTTCCCACAAGATTTTTTCATTTCATATTCATCCCTGTATGAAGAAAACTGAACCTCTTCTCATTTTTCCCCTTTTTTCCCCCCATCCTCCCAACAGTAAAAAGAACATAAGAAAGCAGCGAATGAAAATCTTATTCAATGTTGTTCTTGAAGCTCGTGAGCCAGGTTCAGGCAGAAGACTTTGTGATCTGTTTATGGTTAAACCATCCAAAAAGGACTATCCTGACTATTATAAAATCATTTTGGAGCCTATGGACTTAAAAATAATTGAGCATAACATTCGCAATGACAAATATGCAGGGGAAGAAGGAATGATAGAAGACATGAAGCTGATGTTCCGGAATGCCAGGCATTACAACGAGGAGGGCTCCCAGGTAAAGATGTGTGGGAATCCTGGGGTAGGCACATTGTCTTTTGGGTCCTGGTAGCATAATGCATTTGAAAGATTAGATCTAGAGGCCTCACTTAGGTTGCTCTTCTCAATGACCACCAGCTTAATGCTTTGTCTTTTATAAATTGTAAAATGGCAATCCATTGCAAAGGTTAGAAGTTCATACCCATAAGGTGACATTCTAGATTTGAACTTTGCTCTGCCAGTCCCTGTGTGAGAGACTCACCTTCTCTGAACCTCATTGTCCCCGTTTGTGCCCTAGAGTTACTGGTAGTACTTCTGTCAGGGCCATCATAGGATTTAAACAAGGGAGTGTACACAGAGCACGTAGTACCCAGATGAAAGCCAGTAACAGTAAAGTCTTTGCACATTGTCATTACCCAGAGTAACCATACTTCTCCAGGAATAGTCTGCATCATAGGATTATATAAGAATCAGGATATTCTCAGAAAGGCACCTTTAAATAATTGATTTTATTATGAAGCATCTTGATTTTCAGTTCTTTTATCAGTATGGCTGCAATACATTCTTCCTTCTTTGATATTTTTTGTAACTATTTTTACTGAAGTATAATTGGCATGGAACATTATTGGTTTCAAGTGTATAACAATGATTTGATATTTGTACATATTGCAGTATGATCACAATAAATCTAGTTAACATCTGTCACTATGCGTAGTTACAAATTTTTTTCTTTTTTTTTCAAATTTTTTTTCTTGTGAAAACTTTTAAGATATACTCTTAGCAACTTTCAAATATGCAGTACAGTATTAATAATAGTAGTCACCATGCTGTACATTACATCCTCGTGACTTATTTCTTTTCTTTTTATTTATGTATTTTTTCATTTTTTAAAATTTATTTTCTATACAGGTTTGTGCTTTTTGACCCTTTTATCCATTTTACCCATTCCCCTCTCTCTGCATCTGGAAACCACCAATCTGTTCTCACCAATCTACGAGCTGGGTTTTTGTTTTTGTTTTTGTCTTTTCAGAATCTACCTATACCTGAGATGATACAGTATTTGTCTTTCTCTGACTTATTTCAACTAGCATAATGCCTTCTAGGTCCATCCATATTGTCACAAATAGCAAGATTTCATTCATTTTTTTTTTTTATGGCTGAATGATACACTGTGTGTGTGTGTGTTTTCTTTATCCATTCATCTATTGATGGACACTTAGGTTGCTTCTATATCTTGTTTTTGGTAATTAATGCTGCAGGGAACAGGAAAGGGTTCATATACCTTTTCAAGTTTCCTTTATCTCTACTTTAAATCTCCCAGAAATAAAATAACTTTAAAATCATTAATTTCCTTTCTTCTTGATATTACAAATTTAAGTAGGCACTGAGGGTACTTGTGATCAAACCCTCTATCATAGGGGGATGCAGCTGTAGGGGCCATTAGGTGAGTAACCTTGTTCTTGGCTACATATTATCACCCTTGGCTCAGTCTTCAAAGAGAGATCCTAAGCAGGGATTGTTGCTTTTCACAGATCAGAGGCCAGATTGTGAATTCAGACGGATACTAAATCCCATTTAATAATATTTGAGGTATTGCTATTCAACTATCATATATTTTTTAATGTTTATTTCCCATTGAACTGGGTCTGCTACCTTTTGAGGGTCCAATGGAAGAGAGATTTATGAAAATATATAATTAAGTATCAGAACTTCTGTTAAAACTTGCAGTGATTCTGCCTCAAGTACTCAAACTTTAGTATGTATGTGTACACATAAGAACCACCTGGAAAGCTTAAACAACAAACCATTTGAGGCTGAGTCCCATCCTATAGAGATATGATTTTTTTGCTCTCTAGTGATCTCAAGCTTTATGTCTTTAGTTCCCAATTATGCTAACCTGTGTCTTGAAAACTAATTTATAGCTATGTGTTCTACCTCGATAGAACGTTTTTTAGAAAATAACTTTAAATATATTTACAAAATATAGGTGTACAATGATGCGCACATCCTGGAGAAGTTACTCAAGGATAAAAGAAAAGAGCTGGGCCCGCTGCCTGATGATGACGATGTGGCTTCTCCCAAACTCAAGCTGAGTAAGGCAGCCTCATGCTTTGTTACTCAGTTTAGTCTGTCAAGGGTAGATTACTGATTCATTGAAATAATACTTAAGTGATGAATGTATTTGACTCACACAATAGCACGCTAGCAGGGAGTTTCTTTCCTCCTCTCAAGCACTCTGTATTTTAAGTAGTTAAATGTGGAAAGCATGTGGGGAATAGATATAAAGTCAGAGGTTTTGTTTACTCTTTTAAATGCTGTGGACATTTTGTAAATATTAAATATTAAGAACAGACATTTTTTCCACATACCATGCCTGCAAGAGTGTGGTGGCAGATTTGGATTTTTTTTTTTTTTGTATGTTTGTTTCCTGAATACTGGAATTTAAAGTGAATCCCAGCAGCAGATCCTAGACAGAATTTGAGAAATTAGAGATACTCAGCCACAGCACTGTAAGTTAATTTCCTTGTCTTTTGAGTGTGGTCTGTGGATGGTGATTTTATTAGAACTATGAGAGAAAAGACAACAAAAACAGTTAATAACATTGACCTAAACAAGTTTCTGCCTTATTTAAAATATGTAAATAAAATAAATACTAAGCAAATTAAGTTGGTATTGCCATATATTCTTTGGAACTATAATTGCTGAAAGGGGGAAAATAACACCCTGCTTTTTTTATATGAAGTGACTATAAACTGTATTACAATAGTTTTGGGTATGATTTATTGCTAAATGATGATTTCTTCTTATTAAGTTATCCTTTCTTGGAATTGTAGAAGCATGCAGAAGATTTGTAGAAATGTAAATCTTTTATTCTACTTTTTTAGGGACACAGTGTCTTTTAAGAATAGAATTAGTTCCGGGGGGTGCCTGATTGGCTCAGTCGGTGGAACCTGCAACTCTTGAACTCTGGGTTATGAGTTCAAACCCTATATTGGGTATAGAGATTACTTTAAAAAATAAATTTAAGAGGCAGCTGGGTGGCTCAGTCAGTTGAGTGTCCAGTCTTGGTTTCAGCTCAGGTCATGATCTTAGGATCCTGGGACCAGGCTTCGTTGGGCTCTGCTTCAGGTTCTTTCCCTCTTCCCCTCCCCCCACTTGTATATGCTCTTTTTCTCTCTAAAAAAAATAAATCTTTTTTAAAAAATAAATGTAAAAAGAGTTTTTAAAAATAGAAGTAATTTCTTATTTTTTTAAGATGTTATTTATTTATTCATGAGAGAGGCAGAGAAAGAAGCAGGCTCCACGCAGGGACCCCGATGCAGGATTCAATGCAGGACTCGATCCAGGACCCCAGGATCATAACCTGAGCCAAAGGTTATGCTCAACTGCTCTGCTCAACTGCTGAGGCACCGAGGTGTCCCAGTAGAAGTAATGTCATAAGTTAGAAATGATAGATAATTAATAGTAACTAAATATGTGTAAACATACATATATATTTTCTAAAGTTCAGGAAAGGGAGATTTTAATGTGTAATATTGATTTTCTTTTATTTCTCTATTTTGTGTTATGAAAAGTTTCTATTTTCTATATATTTTCTAAAGTTCAGGAAAGGGAGATTTTAATGTGTAATATTGATTTTCTTTTATTTCTCTATTTTGTATTATGAAAAGTTTTGTATTATGAAAAGTTTGTTATGGTATAACAAACCCCTGTATATACCAGTCAGCGTTTCTCAAGATTGTGTCATACTTACTTACTTCCTATATCTGTTTTTCTCTCTTTTGTTTTAAATTATTTTAAAGGAAATTCAGTCATGTCATTTCATTTCTATATAGTTCAATGTGCATCTCTAAATTTGCAGATATTTTCTTAAATAACCATGAAATCATTACTAACACTGAACAAAATTAGCAATTTCTTGCTTTCATCTAATACCTGGTAAATTTTCAAATTTTACTCCTTTTCTCATGAATGTATTTGTACAGTTGGTTTCTTCAAATTCGGACCTAATTAAGTTCTGTATATTTTATTTGATAGCTATGCCCTCTGTTCATAGTCTAGAGCAGGTCCCTCCTTTTTTTAATTCTCATGCTATTGACTCTTTAGAAACCAGATCACTTTCTTGCACAGTTTCAAGTTCTGGATTAATCAGTTCACTTCCTTATGATATCAGCTAACTTTTCTCTTTATTCCTCTCATTTCTTAAAAAATGGAAGTTTATTCCAGAGACTTCATTAGATTCAGTTTCAGCCTGGCAGGAATGCTTGCTTCATAATAGGTTTTTTTTTTTTTTTAAGATTTATTTATTTATTCATGAGAGACACAGAGAGGGGCAGAGACACAGGCAGAGGGAGAAGCAGGCCCCATGCAGGGAACCCGACGTGGGACTCAATCCCGGGGCTCCAGGATCACACCCCGGGCGGAAGGTGGCGCCAAACCACTGAGCCACCTGGGCTGCCCCATAATAGGTTTTCTGCACTTAAAGTTGCATCACACCTTGCAGCAATGTCTGGTTGCGGTGGAATCTACATAAGGTCCACATACCGCACTTGATACTTCTTTTAATCTGCAAGTCCCCCTTCCATCTTTCTTTTTTTCGTTTGCAGTCTATTTGTTGAAGAAATTGGGGCTATACTGTAGCTTCCCACAGTCTGGGCTTTGCTAATTGCATCCCTTTGCTGTAGTTTACATGTTCTCATGTCCTTTGTATTTCCTCTAAATTGGTGGTTGAAGCAATCAGATTGATCAGATTTAAGTTAGATTTGATCCTCATTCCCTCCTTTTGGCACAAAAACCCACCTTCAGAGGTGGTGAATGGTCTTCCATTGGGTGGCCCTGTAACAGCTGTCATTTCTTCCACATGTTAACAGCTGTTGATGCTGACTACATTAATTCATTAAAGAGGTATAAAATAGCAATAGTCTGATTTTATCATTCCTTGCTCAATTACCAACTGGAATACTTCTGTATAGAGAAACTGCCTCATCCAATATTTGGTTAACCAGTGGTGCAATTTTTTGCTTGTTTGTCTTGTTTTGTTTTGGATTTTTTGAAACCATAAACAGTAAATTCCCTTTCAGCTTTGTTTACCAGTTTTCCAAATAATGCATTGGTTTACTAGTGTCCTCCAACATTTATCCAGTTCATCTGTTCATTTTTATATATCATTAAGAACTACTAAATTCGGACGTGTTGCTAAGTTTTAACTCATTGCAGTTGTCCTTATTGATGCCCCTATTATCCCAGGCTGGCCGCTGTGTTCTACTGACATGACCACAGTAAAAAAGTGTTTAGATTCTTTACTGTCTTGTGTTTCAAGATACACAAGGCTCATCTTGTGCCAATTGCAAGTCAGCCATTTGCTAAGAAGCTACTGGTGTTAATATTTGAAATCCATATTTCAGAATTATAGTCAATATTAGACTACGTGGGGTTATACTGCTACTGCATTGGTCATTGTTTCTAGGATTTTCAGTGAATGGGACTAGGAAATTTTGTATGTGTTTTATACCTAAAGATAAAATACATTGTAAGTTTATATTGATGCTCTTAAAACTGAGATTTATGGCTACAAGATTTTTATTCAGTGTTCTTTGTTTTAACATCTGTATCTCTTTCTTCTGTGATAAAAATCTGTCCTCAGGATGCCTGGGTGGCTTGGTTGGTTAAGTGTCTGCCTGCAACTCAGGTCATGCTCTCAGGGTCCTATAATTAACCTCTGAGTTGGGCTCCCTGCTGAGCAGGGAGTCTGCTTCTCTTTCTCCCTCTGCCTCTCCCCTGCTAGTGTTCTCTCTTTTGCTCTCTCAAATAAAGAAATGAAATCTTTAAAAAAAAAAAATCTCAGTTCTCAAGGGTGCTACAGGTGATAGAATTAGAATGTTATATAGCTATTCATTTGCTTTATTCTACCACAACTATTTCAACATGATAGTACTTATTACTCTATCAGTAAAAATGATTATTAAAAACAGTTTAAATTTGTTTCCAGTTTCTTTGTCCATAGAATATACTTCACTAGAGATATGCTAGTTGAACTGTGTTGGGGATTCCTGGGTGGCTCAGCAATTTAGCGCCTGCCTTTGGCCCGGGGCGCGATCCTGGAGTCCCGGGATCAAGTCCCACGTCAGGCTCCCGGCATGGAGTCTGTTTCTCCCTCCTCCTATGTCTCTGCCTTTCTGTCTCTATGTCTATCATAAATAAATAAATAAATCTTTAAAAAAAAAAAGTGTAACTGACTAGTTGAACTGTGTTTTACAAATCACTTAGAGTACTGCCTGTCTTTTGATTATGCTTTATCAACTATATACAATTTGGGTTCATTTATTTCATTTTATACATTTAACAGTAAGTTTCTTTCTTTAGGTAGGAAGAGTGGAATTTCTCCTAAAAAATCAAAATACATGACTCCAATGCAGCAGAAACTAAATGAAGTCTATGAAGCTGTAAAGAACTATACTGATAAGAGGGGTCGCCGCCTCAGTGCTATATTTTTGAGGCTTCCCTCTAGATCTGAACTGCCTGACTATTATCTGACCATTAAAAAGCCCATGGACATGGAAAAAATTCGAAGTCACATGATGGCCAACAAATACCAAGATATAGACTCCATGGTTGAGGACTTTGTCATGATGTTTAACAATGCCTGTACATACAATGAGCCTGAGTCTTTGATCTACAAAGATGCCCTTGTTCTGCACAAAGTTCTCCTTGAAACTCGGAGAGACCTGGAGGGAGATGAAGACTCTCATGTCCCAAATGTGACTTTGCTGATTCAAGAGCTCATCCACAATCTTTTTGTGTCAGTCATGAGTCATCAGGATGATGAAGGAAGATGCTACAGTGATTCTTTAGCAGAAATTCCTGCTGTGGATCCCAGCTTCCCAAACAAACCTCCTCTTACTTTCGACATAATTAGAAAGAATGTTGAAAATAATCGTTACCGGCGGCTTGATTTATTTCAAGAGCATATGTTTGAAGTCTTGGAAAGGGCAAGAAGGATGAATCGGTAGGTTTCAAAGCTGTTTCTTTTTGAGAAGATGTGGTAGTTAATGCGAAATAGAAGAAAATTCTGCTTTGCTACACTATTTCAGTATTTCAGCTAAGGTATATAATTACAGTTGGTGGGGTGCTGTTTTGAATTCTAATTTTCCACAACTTTTAGAGAGCAAGTATAGGCTGTGGGAGAGAGAAGGCATGCTACTGAATCATCTAGATCAGGACCAGTAAAAAGGAAAGAAGACAAAGTTGAAGATTTGTTGAAAAGCATAAACTCTTAGAATATCTTTCACAGATGCTTTGTTTTAAGGATAGAATGCTTATAATTAGAAATAGTAATGTGATTTTTTTTTAGTTTAATCCAAGCATGCTTTGAATAAATTAAAATAGCTCTGAGTTACTAATCTAAGGTTAGCCAATTTAAATTTGATCACCATTTCCAGTTCCTAAAAAGGCTCCTTTTTTTATCTCAGATTTCTCAATTTTAAGTTCCTTTTGCAGATATTTAATGTACTAAAAAGCAATCAAATTTATATTTCCATCAAACTTGAATTCCCTTTTAATTTTGATCTGCATTATATCTTTGCCACAGAAGAATGGTATAATTGACATCAAAATAATTTCAGTTCAGCAGTTAGAGTGTGTCTTCTGTGTGCTTTTAGAGTCACTTGGAAGAATATAAATTTAAAGATACAGACCCTACCTTCCTGGAGCTTATAGTCTACCTTGCTGAAAGGAGGCTTTTAGGCAGTGAGTGTAGAGTAATTCCAGCTAGGGAATCTGGTGAAGCCTACATTTACTCCGGATCTTGAAAGAAAAATTAGTGGTAACATTTACTGTTCCTATTAAGCATTTGTTCTTTGTATAGCACCATGCTGAACACTTTGTCGAGATAATCTCTAGCCCTTATAATAGCCATTCCAGGAAATAATCTTCCCACTTTGCATTTGAAGTGCACAGACAGAAGTAAATTCCCTAAAGTCACACAACTAGTAAGTTGCCTAAGTCACACATCTTGTTCCCCACTGCAAAGCCAGACACCGGGACACCAGTCACGGAGCCTAGCCATGAATGATAAGGCTTGTGCTCTTGTGCTTTAAGAGCTTGAAGTCCAACAGTTGGGATAGGATCTATGCTTAGGGAAAAGTAATTGTAGGCATGAGACAACATATAACAAATTGATATGTAATAAATATGATGGAGTAGGAACCCTGTGCTAGAGTTCTAAAAAGACCTGAGGCATCAGGGAAGAATGGGAGAATGGGTGAGATGTATAAGGCAAGTGGTTTGAGTGCATGCAGGGGTTAAGAATTGAATGTGGTGTGTTCAAGAGATGGGTGGTGTTGAGGTCAGGTTGAGAGGCGCATTTAGGAAATGGTCTTTCATGTTCAATATTGGGAATAGAAAGGAAGAGAAAGATGGGGAGACATCTTGCTGTCATTCATTATTTCCATTTATTCAACAAGTATTAATTGAGTGGCTACCAGTTATAAACATGTTCTAGGTACTTGGGATACACCAGTGGACAAGACAGACAAATCCTGCTTTCCTGGAGCTTAGACTTCTTATTTGTTCTCAGTTTTCCTAAATAGTCCTTAAATCTAAAGTCACTCCTCTCCTCCATCCCTGCCCTGCCCCCATTACATCCTGGGGTTAGTTCTGTGAGTCTCCCAAAAGTGCATTTGTCTCTTAGATCATTAGCAGCTTCGTTTGTTTTACATAGATAATGTCTATTTTAAGAAATAAGCAGATTTGTATCTGTAGGAAATGAGTTCTTTTCATTCTCCCATTGTTGATGTGATTGGTATTTACTTTTGAGGCTTAGAAGGTAGAGTCTAGGGTGCATTTCTTTATGAGGCAGTGATGAGTTTCACTCTTTTGCCCAGAGCTTTGTAAAACTAAGGGAAGCCATTTTTTATCTTTGTCATGTGAAGGTCATGTTATGACCTTAAAGTACTTAAGCATAAGCATGCTGCTGAGGTGGAGATGCATCAGTTTAGTGAATGATAAACCATCATTTTATCTATTTTGTCAGTAATGAAAATAGACACCTCAAAAATACTAAGTTCATGAATTTAATTTTTTTTTAAGATTTTATTTATTTATTCATGAGAGACACAGAGAGACAGAGAGAGGCAGAGACATAGGCAGAGGGAGAAGCAGACTCCACACAGGGAGCCCAATGTAGGACTCGATCCAGGACTCCAGGATCATGCCCTGGGCTGAAGGCATTCCTAAGTTCATGAATTTAATGAAGTCCATAAGCACTAGGTTTCTCTGTAGATCTCCAGCAGTGTTCATGCTTCTTTACACTCACCCTGACCCACTCACTGCTGCCACTCAACATCACCAAGGACTTCACACCCTGAAATAGGAGGGGTCTGAAAAGTGAGACAGAGAAAAATTCATTCAGGTGACAGTGATTTGTCCAGTAGTATTCAGTAACAAATAGCACTGACGTAAGCAGTAAGCCGCTGGCTTTCCTCATCTGCTGGCAGCGTTCCTGCATTTAGTTCTCTGACTGCCTTAGAGGAGGGGAACCTTTGAGAAGACGAGGACAAGGAAAGCACTAAGAGCTTCCTCCACTCTTAATTATTTCATTCTCTACCAGTGATAAGGGGAATGAGAGTTATTATCTTTTTCCTTGTTGACTTGAGTTCTTGTTCTTGTGCATGCAGGCAACACTGAGCCTCTTAGATTAATAAATTCTTAATATTACTTTATTCAAATAAAACAGGAAAGATAAGTCAGATATTTAATGGCTATGTGCAGAACTTCCATTATTAAACAACACGACTTGGTGGAATTATGAATCTGACCTTTCATGTAACAGGGATTACCAGAAGTTCGTTTTCACTTTTAATTTTATACTTAAAATTGTAAGCTATTATAAAATGACTTTTAATCCCAAGTGAATACTCTTCAGACATCTCTGTTCAGAAAACAGGCATCAAAATAATATCATAGTTTCTTCCCTTGACCAGTTTTATTTTTATTGCATTCCTACAAGTATCAGCATTTCTGTAACCTGAAAAGATTTTTAAAACCATTCCAGAAACATTCATTTAGGTTATTATTGGCAGTGTTTTTAGATTGTTTGCCAGTTCACCTTTGCTGATGGGGAGAAGCATTCTGGAGGCTTCACTAAAATTTGATGCTCTAGTGAAAGATATTAGCAGGTGGCTAACTGGGCTTGCTACTACGCCTGGCACCCTCCTCTGACTAGAATGTGTCCATAACTGCTGCTAAGACTTTGTGGTTACTTCTGTGAATCATTTTTCAGACCCTCGTATTCCTAGTGATAGAATTATGTTTAAACCATCCTCAGGGGGCAGCCTGGGTGACTCAGTGGTTTAGTGCTGCCTTCGGCCCAGGGTGTGATCCTGGAGACCCGGGATTGAGACCCATGTCAGGCTCCCTGCATGGAGCCTGCTTCTTCCTCTGCCTGTGTCTCTGCCCCTCTCTCTGTGTGTGTGTGTCTCTCATGAATAAATAAAGTCTTTAAAATAAATAAATAAACCATCCTCAGAGCACAGTGGATTAGAGATAATAAGAAAAATTTCTTCCAGTCTAAATTCTTTTTTAAGAGTTTATTTATTTATTCATGAGAGACACAGAGAGAGATGCACAGGGGACGAGCCTTAAGGAAGAGAAAACTGTAGGCACGAGGCTCATCGAGGTAAAACGGCACTTCAGATTCTGTTCTAAAACTTTCAAGGAGATATCCTACTGTACAGAAGTACCATTATATCAGTTAACATGTTACAGAAGCATTGGGTAGAGTTTAACATGTAACTGAATTGTGTGAAAGAAGTGGCTTGTGTATCAGTGGATGCTCTTAATTCCATTATAGGACAGACTCTGAAATCTATGAGGACGCAGTAGAACTACAGCAGTTTTTTATTAAAATTCGTGATGAACTCTGCAAAAATGGAGAGATCCTGCTTTCACCAGCACTCAGCTACACCACAAAGCATTTACATAATGATGTGGAGAAAGAGAAAAAGGAAAAATTGCCAAAAGAACTAGAAGAAGATAAACTAAAACGAGAAGAAGAGAAAAGAGGTTGGTTTCTTTTCATTTTATTAAATATGAAGAAATAATTACATTCTGTTCTAGTTGTGGCTCTCCTAGCTAGCTGTGGGGACGGATCCTGTCTGTAAATGTTGACTCTTTGAGAATGGACATGTTGAGATAGAAATGCTTTTACCATCATCATTTTGGTCATCAGACTGTTAAAAATTGGAAGTGCTGAGTAGCACAGCCATTACTCTAGTATATCAGGGACAATCAGTTAACTCACAAATGTTGGAACTCACCAGGTCATAATACTGTTGGCAGATAAAAGCTGCAGGGCCTGTCTGGAGCTGAGAGCATTCTCAGCAGTGAGTACATCAAGGTTCTGTCCTGTTGTGTAACAGAATGGCTTTCATCCTATGGGCTCGGCCAGATTAGATGTTTTGGTTGAACCACAATGCTAGGAGGAAATTTTTATTTTCATTGTATCAACGCAAAAATTTTATTTTGAGTCACTTGCCAGAATTTAGAAATTTTGACAGTGGGAACTTTTATTAGAAATATCACTTCTCAAAAAAAAAAAAAAAAAAGAAAGAAATATCATTTCTCAACTCTTGCTGGAGTCATCACCATGGCCAGTCTGCTAGCACTGGCACCAGTGGTGCTGCTGGTGGCACTGGTGCAGGGCTGGGGAGGCCAGAATCACAGGGACTGGGACACCGCCTCGATACCACTTCCACAAGGACACAGAGCGTGTGGCCCACTTCATGACATATCTGTGACTGGGGTGCACTGGCTGCAGAGGAGGCTGTACACCACTAGGCCTTCATCACTGTCTTCTTGCTCAGTGATGGGCCGGGCATGGATAGTGGCATGCCCAACTACTACCTGAGCCCACTGCAGCAATTGGTGGGCAGCCTGCAGGAGAATCCACATGCTATGCTGACCATGTCTTTGGCATAGACCTAACTTCTGCAGGAAGCACGTATTTGATCCCTAAAGTTCCCTCTCTGCTCCCATGATACTGTCAGGAACTGTTAACAAGATGGATGAAATGGAAATGGATTTTGCCAAGCAATCACTGTTCATCCAGCACCCTGAGATGAAAACCTGACCTTCCAGCCGTAATTGGTTCTCTGCCAAGTTGAATTAACCAACATCTGGGTCCTGGACTACTTTGGTGGGCCAAAAATAGTAACACCTGAACAATATTATAGTGTCACATTTTAGGGAAGTAGAATGCAGCAAATTTAACAACACCCATGACTTTGCCTGGGATAGCTCATACAGACTTGAAGGACTTAATGTTTCTCTGTGGAATGCTTCCAGATTAACGAGTTTTCTTTCACATACTGGTTTGTTTGCTTGCTTGCTGCTTGCTTGCTTTTTTACAAAATAGAGTTGGACTGTTCCTGTATTTCTTGGGAGATGTGGTTGCCTGGTTTTTGGTTTGTTTTTTCATATTTTGAAGCCATTTTGTAGAGGTATATCTTTCATTGTAAGTATTTTTCCTTATAGTTTTCCAGCGGTGCTCCTTGAAGAGGAGCCAGTGCCAGATTTAGATTTCCCATTGGCATTTGAAGGTACTCAAAGATGTGTCTTTAATTCCTGGAAGCCACTGTGCTGGAGAGAGGGCCTCACTCACCCACAGCTGCACCTGCACTGCCTGAGCCTATGCGCCCACATATATATGTGGCTGAGACAGACCATGGTGAGACACAAATAGAGCTTCCTCCTCATAGTCCATTTGTGTCTGACAGGCCTGGGTGTTTTGATCCAACATAGGGCAAAACCATTTCTTATCAAGAACTTATCTTTTTACTTTTCAAATCTAGAATAATAATTACCTAGAACAAAAGAAGTTTATGAAACATGTCCTGAATTTTATTTTCCCACCTAAATGAACATGGTATAATCAGTGTCCTCCATTCAAAACATACACATACACACATGTACACGTTACTTTATGTTTTTTGTTTTCTATTTTGCCCCCAAATGGGCTTGCAAAAAAAAAAAAAAAAAAATGCAGGCAGGGAATTTTGTGTTGGTCATTTCCAGTGTTCTTTTGTAAGTAAAGTTTACCTGACATGGACCAGCTTAAGCCAGGCCCAAAACCACCTGTGTTCAAGTACACTTAATAGCTTTTTAAGCAATGCTGCTCTCAGCAGTGGCCTGAGACTTCCTCAACTCCTGTAAATCTTTAAATAGCTTCCATGCTGTTACTACCTAAATCAGGTCATCAGGAAGCAGATAACATGACTTTTAAAAAAAAATCACATTTCTTCAGAAAAGAAGAAACTTTGGTTTTATTACCTGTATACATGATTTCAGAAGATGATACAAGGTCTCTTGTAAAGAGGTGTGTCAGGAACCAGGCTGCTGAATCCCTAAATGGCTGAGAGGAAGGAAGTTGAATACTAGTCTTTATGTTTAAAAACTATTAAGTGAACTTTCTTTAAATCCAACAAACAGCTTCTGTTTAAGAAAAATGATTTAGAGGCACCTGGGTGGCTCAGTTGTTTAAGTGTCCAACTCTTGATCTTAGCTCAGGTCATGATCTCAGGGTCATAGGATTGAGCTCCATATAAGGTTCAGTGGAGAGTCTGCTTGAAATTCTCCCTCCCACCTCTGCCCCTTTCCCTCCTTGTTCTCACTTTCTCCTTCCCTCACTCTTTCTTAAAAAAAAAAAAAAGAAAAAGAAATGATTTCTATTAAACTTGGTAAAATAGGTTACTCAAAATAATTAAAAGCATTATTTTACTGAGAAGAAAAGAAATGTCATTTCTTATAAAGTTATTATCATTATTCTTTTCATGAGACAGCTTTTTTTTTTAGTATAGTTGACACACAATGTTACGTTAATTTCAGGTGTATTTCTTACAAAGTTTGAGTTCTTATAAAGATGGCTATCTAGGATATGTGATTTTCCAAGAGTTATATTAGTCTTTAGCATCACATCTGCTTAGGGCTTTTTTTCCATAGACAAGAAAACAAAGTTGACTTGAAATTATCATATGCAATGGCATATGCAGAGAAGAGAAGGGAACCTGGTTGGTGACAGTAATTTATCAGCATAAGGCTAGGTGCACAGAACCCGGCAACTTTGCTGCCATAGAGGATGTACTCATTTAGGATGGTGAGAGTGTATGGAATGAGAGTGTCTTTGCCAGCTAAAAGTGATCAATGCAGAGATGAATGGGGTAAACCTGCAGCTTTGCTAACCAAAATTACATTGAGGTTGAGGAATATCCTGGAAAGTAGCCATAGAAGATCTGAGATAACTCTCACACATTCTTGGCTGACTGAAAAACTATGCCTCTGCAAGGGAAATGGGAGAACCTCATGAAAAGCAAAATACAAGCAATACTTGAAAGTTGGTTACAACTTTGAATGTATCTCCCAAGCCACATGCACATCAGTCAGCAGAAGGTGAGTCCTTATGAGTTTGAGGTCTTTGAAGACAATCTTCACCTATATCATTGGCTGACCCTTGACTAAGCAGACTTGGGAGTGAACCCTCATTCCATGCGTCCTAGTATACTTATATTGGGAGTCTCAGAGAACAGAAGAAAAAGGAAGGGAGAGAAAAATACTTAAAGACATAATGGCTGAAAACTTCACATTTGATAGAAAACATTAACTTACAACTCTAAGAATGCCAGGAAAACACAAGGAGAACCATTTCTAGATACATCATCTGAAAGAAAAAATCTTGAAAGCAACAAAACAACTTACCACGTTCAAGAAAATAATATGATAATGGCTCATAAAAAATAATGGAGGCCAGAAAGCAGTGACATGATATTCAAAGTGCTGAAAAGGATAAAAACTGAACCAGTGTATCCAGTGAAACTGTCCTTCAAAAAGGAAGCTGAAATAAGACATTCTTAGATAAACAAAAACAGAATTCACTGCTGGCAGAACTTTCCTATAAAAAAACACTGAAGGAAGAGCTTTAGGCCAAAAGAAAACACCACCAGATGGTTGGCTTGAATCTATAGGAACGACTGAAGGGTATGAAAATGGTAAATATAAGACTGTATTTTTTTCACTTTTCTTCTCCTGATTTCTTAGAAAACATTACATTTTTTAAACAAATAGTTACAACATCATCGTTTAAAGAAGTATGTGAAAGTAGCACAAATGAATGGAGCTATTTTGGAGCAAAGCTGTACCATTTAACAAAATCAAGTCAGTATCAACCTAAAGTAAAGTAGATGGTGATAAGTTAAAGATGTGTATTGTAATGCCACTAAAAACAAATAGCGATAAAAATCTAACACAGGAATTAAAGTGGTATACCAGAAATACTTGCTTAACACAAAAGAAGGCAGTAAAGAAGAAAACAAAAAGCATAAGAGATATAAAAAACAAATAGTAAATGGCAGACACTAATTCAGTCATATTAATAACTGTTACATATTGCAAATAGACTAACCAAATCGCTGACCAAATTTTAAAAGTAATATCTAACTCTGTGCTGAAGAGACTTGTTTTAGATTCCAAAACAAAAATAAATTGAAAGGAAAAGGAGGGAGAAAGATAGAACCTGCAAATACTAACTGTAGTGAGTTGGAATGGCTGTATCAATATCAAATAGACTTTAAGAGAAGAACTGTTACTAGAGAGACAAAGAGGGGTATCTCATAACATTAAAAATGTCAAGACATTGAAACATAATATTTACGAATGTATATATACCTAACAGTGGAGCCTCCAAATACATGAAGCAGAAACTGACAGAATTAAAAAAGAGAAATAACCTGGGACGCCTGGGTGGCTCAGTGGTTGGGCGTCTGCCTTCCGCTCAGAGTGTGATCCCGGGATCCAGGATTGGGTCCCACATTGGGCTCCTTGCAGGGAGCCTGCTTCTCCCTCTGCCTGTGTCTCTGCTCTCTCTCTCTCTCTCTCTCTCTCTCTCTCTCTCTGTTAAAAATAAATAGATAGATAGATAGATAATTTTTTTTAAGGAACAAATAATTTAATATAGTGTCAGTACTCCTTTCTCAGCAATTGATAGACCAAAAATCTGTGCTCTCTTCTCACCA